CCCCCCCTCTAAAATCAATTCTCTCCTGGAGATCGTCTTCGTGAGCCTCTCATGATTTCAGGATAGTTGAAACCCTCTTGAACATTCAGAAAGAGTGAATATGAAATTCTAATCACGAAAGGTGTTCTGTGAAGCACGTCAATTCTCTCCTGGGGAGCGTCTTCGTGAGCCTCTTATGGTTTCAGGATAGTTCAAATCCTATGATGTTCCGATTCAATGCTCACCGATGATCTGAGCCATGGGGCAAGTTTGTTTTCCTAAGAATCTTTTTGAACATTTCGAGAGCACATGTTTGAACATTTAAAGTGCATATGAACATATATGTACGAAAGGTCGCCTCCGAGGGGATAAATCACCATGTCGAACATTGCATTTTTGTTCCTGCCTCTCGCGTTCTCTTCTCTTCCCGCTGTCCTACCTTTCGTGTCTCCCTCCTCTCAAGTAAGGTGAGGGAACGGAAAGGTGCATAGGTCGGCAAAACAGTATGGTTTAAAAATGGTTTCAAAAAGGCCTCGAAGTCGATCTGTACATTCGGTGCGGTGACGAGCGCAGCTGCAGGAAAGTGGGTTTAGGGGAGGAAACGTGAAGGACCATGGAAACAAACCGATCAAAGTGGACAGCTTGTTCAAAAGTTCATTTGGCAGGTACGTGACTCCAGCGTCCCGGAGTCATATCACATCCGATCAGCAGTGTCTTTGTTAGGCAGTGACTGCTGAAAGGACCACTGCCCCCCTGCTTCAGTGGAACAAAGAGGTGGGAACATGGAAAACCCTTAGAACCAGGGTGTGACACACACAACAAGCCGTGATCGGCGCACAGAGCGAGCGGTGGAAAACACGGATTTTTTGTGCAATGGTGAAGACCTGTCATGTAATGCAATCTCTGAGAGCTGTGGTGTGAAAAACTGTGAAATCTGAAATCTGTCAAATGGCTGCGGTTAAAAGTTGATGGAGTGATCAAACGCACAAGTGGAAGAAATTCAGAAATCAAAGGTGGGAAATCCATCGTTTATAGCCCGGCGGCTCGAAAATCAGGAAATTCAGGGATAAAATGGAAACCGTGGAATCAGTTATGAAAGTGGAGAACAGTGAATTCCGGCATGGCTTCGGCGCCTCCTTTCGGAGGGTCACACCCAGTACCCACGTGGGAAGACTGAGCGGTCCACACTTCGAACTTGGGTTTTCAGTTAGACTCAATTGCCACGATGGGAAGTAAGGTGAGGGAACGGAAAGGTGCATAGGTCGGCAAAACAGTATGGTTTAAAAATGGTTTCAAAAAGGCCTCGAAGTCGATCTGTACATTCGGTGCGGTGACGAGCGCAGCTGCAGGAAAGTGGGTTTAGGGGAGGAAACGTGAAGGACCATGGAAACAAACCGATCAACGTGGACAGCTTGTTCAAAAGTTCATTTGGCAGGTACGTGACTCCAGCGTCCCGGAGTCATATCACATCCCATCAGCAGTGTCTTTGTTAGGCAGTGACTGCTGAAAGGACCACTGCCCCCCCGCTTCAGTGGAACAAAGAGGTGGGAACATGGAAAACCCTTAGAACCAGGGTGTGACACACACACACACACCGGGCTGCACGTGGGCTTTGCAGCTCTTCCTGCCTGTTCCAGGCTGATACACTCATCTCAACAATCCTGGCCGCTTAACCCCTGATGCAAGACGATCAGCTTCACTGCCAAATCCCGGCGGTTCGGCCAGGGCCGAGAGATCATTCCAAGGTATTCCCATCCGGAGGGTCGCTTGGTCGATGAGAATCCCAGCAAGGCATTGTGTGTCTCGGCATCTTCAGCCGGTTGGGTGCCGGTGGGCCGTTTTGGGGTTTGCGCGGACCCGCCGTTGCACTTAGCAAGTGGGAGCTTCTCAAGAATTGTTGCATCCTCAGGAGGTGAGATCACTTGGTTGGGCCTTTTTGGGCTGCATGTGCAAACACATGGACAGTAAACACATGGACAGTAACATGTTTCCTCTACCAGTGGTTGTTTACTTTGTCGCCGTTTCTCCATTGTCGTGAGGGTGAGCGACCGGTTCGTAAGACTTGAGGGTTGTTTGATTCGACGGAAACTGCTGGGGCGATCCAATCATCGCACACTTGATGCGAATGAGAATGCGAATGAGATGAACACTTTGGCACCAATCCAAACACACCAACCCGCTAAAGTGTGGCACCGACTGACCCAATAAAGGAGGACGAATGGCTGTTGGAACCTTCGGACCTCCCTTCCTTCCCGGTCGCCACGAGCGTTTCTAGCCGCTACAGCCGCTGCTGCGTCGGGTGATGTCGGGTGCATTCCCCCACGACCTGGCCATTTGGGTAATTTTCCTTTGGGATGAGCATTCCATAGCTCGCCAGCCCGTCCTTGAGACTGAGAGACTGCACAAAACCCGGGAACCCGGGATCATCAGTTGATGCAAGGTGATTGGGGTGTGAACTGCGATAAGCTGGACTGCTGGCGGCTTCATCCCCCTGACGCCCGACTGCGACTGAGTCCTGCGGGCTGGGAGGAATCCATGGGATTCTGTTGGGAAAGTGAATGCGCTATAGACACAGAATGACAGAAATATTATGAAATATGTATTATATATGTTTATATATAAGTTCTGTAGGTTATATACTTGCGGGTCGTTGAACAAATAGTTGCAGGTTGCATGTCCGCAGTCATCTCGATTTCTTACCACTTGTTTCCAGGCTTATTGGCTGTCCATGCCAGCTGCATGGGCCTTTCATTGCACACTATTGTGCACTGGTGTTCTTTTCTCATGGGCGCGGGCAGAATTGGAACACCGCACACGTGTGTCACGTGTGGTAGTTGTGCATCATTGTTGTCACCTGCGCCCAGATGCGCCCAGTAGGAGCAACTGGCAGGTGAGATTGTCTTATTTTTCTAGGGGGTGATTTGGTACATACAAACTACTGTATTATACACCAATATCGCAACTTATACAGTTATGTATAATATATACATGTTATATTATATAATATTATATATATATATGGTTACATTATTGATCCTTATTGCATTTGTTCCTTAATGTACATGTATAACAAATGATAGTTAATATTATAAACTATATGTATAACAGTATGTGTATTACACAAGGAGCCACAATTTGCTTGTTTTGTGTATGTATATATTTATATATATAGATGCATATGTTTGCAAGGGCATATGCCAAGTGATATACCTTTGCCCAGCCAGCTGACGAACAACTGGAGGAACGGGATGCCAAAGCGCCTTGGTGAGAAGAGGAGGAGAGCAGCGACACCTACGGGATGAAAATCATTAGTAGAACACACTTCGTAGAAGTGACCAAGCGGCCATAACCACTAGAGTTTACTTAAAGGATGTCAAGCAGACTGCCTAAAGAACATGAAGGCCGCCAAAAATCTCATCAATCAGCTGTGCCCGGAACGGAACTCCAAGTTGTCCACAGAGTTCAGACAACACTCCGCCTCCGCCTCCGCCCACCGCGCAGCTCAAGGTGGCGCACGTGCAGCCCTCGGACTTTGTGCTTTTCCTCGACGAGCTCTCCATGCCATCACGGCCGCAGCTGCAGCCAGACCCCTCGGATCGGGAGGTCGGGTTGGGCCAAGGCTGTTTGTTCGCATCATTTGGTGGGTTGGAAGCAACAAACAGCACAAGGCTTGTGATCCTCAGCTCTTGGGGGTTTTCACTCTTCGAGGCTGGGGTAAAAGTGATGATCCCACTGGTGCAGTTGACCCCAGGAATTGGCAGTTCCTGTCCAGTCTGAAGCACACCGACTTGCACAGGTCTTCATTGATCCGTTACCTGGAGATCCAGGCTCTGAGGAGCTGCAGCAGTTTTTGGCTGCCTTCGGCGACTTCGAAGAGGCTTCCCGCCCTGACTAGGTGGCACGTGTGATTTGCGCAGTTCTTCTTTTCGACGGCCGCTGGCCTGGTATCTTAGGTGGGCAGGGTTGGGGTTGTGGAGAGTGTTTGGGAGCATGATATGGACGGTGATCATGAGTGGTTGAGAGAAGTGAGAGAGGTGATATAGCTGTCCTTCTCTTATTGATGGGAGGTATGAACACAAGACCACAAACAGATGGTGTCAACACAGCGTTCTTTCGGATCTCGCGCGAGCAGTTATTAACGCATCTTATGGTCCAAGAGCAATCGCTGATCGCGTCAGAGCACTTAGGTTTTGAGAACCACAGTGACGATTTGAAGCAAGAGAGACCAGAGACATCAAACGATCAAAAGCCCTCAACGACTAGAGTCCTATGGTCCCTTGCAACCCTCAATGATTCTGGAGTAGACTTAAGACTCAAGACTTGAGCGATCGCCGCTGGTGCCCATTCTCCCAGTTGTCGATCTACCTGACCGCACCAGCCGGTGCCCACGTGGCCGGTGCCCGTGGCCCGGCACCGCCCTTCGCTTCCCACCGGCCATGGCGGCGGAGCCTCGCACCATGGAGCGAGGCTGGAGCGAAGCGACAGAAGTCTCGTGGCTTTCGCTTTGGTCAAGACATGGCGAAGCAGTTCATGTACGAAATACATGGACATACATGGACATACCACATATTTCAAGCTACAGTAAAGGGCCTAGCATCCCGGTTTTCTTGTGGTTCAATTTTTGACAAGCGGTGGCCGTTTGGGTTGACAATGCTGGGTCTGAGAGATGTGTTTCTTGCAGTGTGAGTGGTTCTCATCGCTAGGCTCCGGCCATGCATGCCGATTTGCGACACTACAGCCAGACGCTGAAGTCCTACACTAAAGGAGCTGACTGGCAAGCTGCCTTGCTTTTGCTAGATGACCTAGACAAAGCCGGTGCAGCCAATGTCATTCTGTACAGCACCCTGTCAAATGATTGAATTCAAAGTTATTTTGGCTATGACAAACGGGCCTCCACAAGAAGCCTTTCATATCATTGGAACCACTGGTTCCAGTAGCGTTTGAATCAAAAAAAGAAGTAGAACATTCAATTTCCACAAAGGGCATGTTGTTCTTGTTTCAGTGTCCAGTGTCCGACTTGGGATGTCTCGCTCGTCTCCAAAACACGAAAAAAACAACTGAAAGCGTCGACCAATAATCATACAGCAGCAAGTCGTTCTCGTCCTCGACAAGGTGTGGCTGTGACCTCGTGTGAGCGTGGTCAGCAGTTGGCGCTGGGCATCTCCTTGCTTCGGCGGGCGGAACGGCAGTGCCTTTGGCTGCCTTTGGCCAAGGGCCATACTGTGGCCATGCTTGCTTGCCTCCCACCAGGTCTACAGAATATGTTGTATGTCTCATGCTGAATGATGCTGAATGTATATTACAGTAATGATATCTCTTTATATATATATATGTTATACCGTATGCATCCATCCACCTAATTAATGGAAGAATCAAAAAGAACCAATGTTGAGGGAAAAAACGTGTCACACTTGGGTCCCAACTGGGAATGTTCGAGCTTGGAGAGGTGAACGTGTTCTTCAGCTGACTTGTTTTTGCGCAGACCGAAGGAAGATTCAGCCCGACACAGTCATGTACAACACTCTCATCAGCAGCTGTGCCACGAGTGCCTTGCCATGCCAGTGCTCAATGTTGCCCATGACCATGAGAGGTGTGTGTTGCCCTTTAAGATCCAACCATGTATATACAATATTGTTCCATTATTTGCAACAGTCAGTAAGCAGTTATAACTTCTTTAAAGGCAGGGCTTTACTAACCATCATCATCATCATCATCATCATCATCATCATCATCCATTGTTACTGGTAGTCGGATAAGCCCAAAATATATCCTTCTCCTTTTCTTAAGAGAACTGTGGGGATTAATGGTAGAAGGGGGCTACTGCGATGAGGTGATGAAGTAAATGAAGCGTACGTACCAAACTTTTCCTTTTCAGCCTGAGGTTCTCAATGGCCATGCTGCGTTCACGTCCTCAGCCAATTGAAGCAAGCGGCCGTTCCAGCGGATGTGATTTCCTTCAATTCCGCTCTCAAAGGGTTTCGCTGTACCAGTGTGTGGTTCAATGCTCTCATTTTGCAACAGCAAATTGGCCAGGCCCGTCTTCAAGTGACTTGGCCTGGGAGCCTTTTGGTGGTTCATCCGGGGAATCCACGATTTGAGAAGTTCTGTGAAAGTGAAGCTAAGCTGTATAGTTTCCGTGTTTTCTTTTTTTCGATTCAACCGGGTCTAAACTATCCAAAAAACTGTCCAAACTAGTTGCATGCTTGGCAAACAACATGTTATTTGTCTCAAAACCCAGCTCTTGGAATCCACGACGCGTCTCACGCGTCTCTCGCGCGACGGATTTGAGGCGTCGGTGGTGACGATGAACTCGATCATCAGCTGTGATGCTGGCTGGCCTCGGGCACTTGAGTCATTTGCATGGCTTCAGCAAGAGAAGTTGCCAGCGGATTTGGTGACTTACAATGCAGTTCCTGGTCTGAAATAGTTCCTGGTATGAAATGATAATATATACAAGAATCACATCCAGTGCAACCGCCCGGAGAAATCCCGGAGGCCCCCCCAGCACAACCCACAAATCAGGTCAAGCTTACATTGTCCAACAAGTATGTGTGTGTGTGCACATCTTGGATGGAATTTGTTTTGCAGCTTATCGCCAGGTTCACAGACTTTATAAGTCTTTATATGTTTCTACCAGTGTCTAACGGAGTCCAGGACCTTTGGTCTTCTTTTGCAGGCTACGTGCTGTGCGATGCCTTGTGGGTGCACGGTGGGCTCGTAGCTGTGCAGTGTCACAGATGTGTGCGTTTGCCCAATACCTGGAAAATAGTCCCTGGACAGATGTGTTTTCCCCTTAATTACAAGCAGGGGGTTGTCCACTTCCATGTTTGTTGGAGGGAGGGTGCACAATTGGGCAACCGGGTGCACCAAGTGCCGCACAATCCGACCACAAGTTACCAATAGGACAAGAGGACGCAATACACTGATTGAATGCGTCGTGGAAGTGGAAAACCACATGTTGGTATATAGATTCTATGATGAGTCAATGATAATTATATACGTCATTTTTTGAGAGCGCAAATGCAAGACCAAAGTATTGCAATCACGATGTTGTTTTTTTTTGGGATGCTGGCCTTTGCTCATGTTTTGACAATCCTCGGGAAATACAGAAGCAGCGAAGGGTATTCGCATGTATTCGCTGCATGTTGGGGCGACCAAACATCTCCTTGGACTGTGAATAAGGCTCTTTTCTACTTATCAAGGATCTTTCTCCACCCTGAAAGAACCTCCGATGCTCAGTTTCTGAAGTCATGTGCGGCTTCAGGTCCAGGCTGCTTCTCCATGGCCGCGCGCTTTCAGCTTCCTTCGAAGCATTCGCAGAGAAGGGTTGGAGCCAGATGTTGTGACGTTTGGAGCTCTTGTGGCTGGGAGTCGTTCCTTGGCAATAGGTTCAGGTTCAGAGTTGAACACCCGGCGCATATAGCCAATATTTTTGTATTCTTTTTGGACAATCGGATAATCTACAATAATTTGCTCGTTTCACCAGCCTTTGATGCATGCTTGCAGGTGTAAGCTAAGCTGGGGCCATTCTCATAGAGATGGACGATACAACAAAAACCAGTAATGTTGGAACTTAAATAGCAAAGGCCGTCCCCCCCTCCCCCTAGCAAACCATGGAGGGAGTTTGAATAGCATTGGTGGCAAGTAGTGGTTGTGGTGGTGGTGGTGGTCGGATACTGTTCTAGTGCAAAACAACTGTTTATTATTCCCCACCCCTAAACAATGCGTACTATTCACTTTCCCTGGGCTTGTGCACTACCCCCTTGAAAAATTGTTTGGAGCAATGAAATCGTTGAGTCTCAATAAGCGTTTTTGAAACCGGTTTCCAGGTCAGAATTCCATGAATCAAGCAAACCTCAGAAGAGTTAAGTAAGGAATTTGAGGGCAGCAATATCACAACAATAGACATGTAAACAGAAGAAACACAGCGGGAAAGAGCAACTTATATTGCCATTCCCTCCCATTAAACTATTCAGGGTGTTGGAATAAGTTTGCAAACACTTTTTGTATTTGCTCCTATTTGACTGATTAGTACCCGACATTATAAACCCTATGCTATGCTGATGCCCCTCGGTGACACAAATACATTTCTATCCTTGCATTGATCCTGTAGCCTGGGTATGCCTTGGTCAGTGTGATTCTTAAATGTACATTAGTACTGCATGCATGTGTGAGTGTACATACATATACATATATATGTGGGTTGGGGGTTGTATCACAATACAGTAGGTTGAAATCCAAAAGACCCCCTGAAAGAAGGAACATCGACCCAAACCCATTGGTTCGTGGTCCCCCTATTAATATACACACCCATATTGTATGTGTATATATAATATGTATTGTGCCTACACGGGGCTGGAGAGTTCAATTTGTCAATGCCAGGCTGGGAGTGGTCTTTGCAGCATCTTCAGTCTGATGCTTGACGCATCAGTTGATGGCCACCTTCAATGTTCCGCCATATCTGATCTGCAACTATCAATGTTAGATGATGTTTGAGGACCCAATATATGTTGCCAAGTTGCCAAAGTGAAGCAGTGTTCAGTACCCCTACCTACGCAGTGGCTTTGGAACGAGCAGTTTTGGTTTGGGAGGTGACGTCAGAAGGTGAAGGCATTGGCGCTGCTGCAAATGCCAGGAGCCCCTAGTAGCATCCTTGCTCCTAGTAGCAATGCCAGGAGCCCCTAGTAGCGTCCTTGCCCCTAGTAGTAAATAGTAAGGCCAGGAGCCCCTAGTAGCAAATTTTGGATGAGGTTGGGGTGCTTTGATAACTGCACTGCGGCAAAATAGAAGGCAAACTTCTTCATGTTTTAAAGAAGTGAACTTCCATTCCATCAAACATCATCAACCGCTCGAGATTTCCACAGGCTTGTCCTTCCTTCAAACTCAATTGATATGTACTTTAACTTTAATGAATACGACTTATGCTCAGGCATGTCTTTGAGCCACATACTCTGCGAATTTTGCAGACAGTTCTGGCTCATCTTTGCCGAGCAATCGAAAGAGAACCACCCTCCTTTCGTTCTGGGCCCGGGGTGTTTGATCGAATGTGGTTTAAGCTGCAGAGACACAGACAGATGTAATCCAAGTGTCACAAGGAAGACCCAAAGAATGTTAGCTGTTTGCTACTACAGCATCGCTTCGGTTCTTCATAACCCCCGAAAGAGAACGGGTGCATTGAGCCCAATATGCCCGGGACAAGATCGCTGGTGGAAGTAGAGGACCAAAAAATCAGCACCCGCCAGTGTTAGTTTCGGTTGGATATGTGATGATTTCTGATGTTGTCCAATGCTGGGAATTGATTTCCAAGGACTTCCCCACCAATGCGGTGGCCTACAACGCCTGCTTGGCGCTTCTTCCGTGGCATGGGGCCATGCATGTGTTAAAACTTATTCGATTCCAACAGCTGCGGGTGACGGCCAGAGGCTTGGCATGTGTCAAACAAAAGGTGGTTACTCAAGGGTTTTGCAACTAATTAGATGTTCAAGGCTCACCGTTTTATAGCTGGCAGGTTGGAAGTCATTCTGACGTTTCTGCCCCCGCACTCTTTATGTTTTGCAGCTGCCTTTGATGGCTGTTTCTGGCCAAAAAAGCCCAGGAACTCACAACATCCTTTTGTCCACGGCACGCGCAGCGGGACGATGGAAGGCTGGTTTTCATGCAGTGGAGCAGCGGCGGGGCCTGGGATTGGCAGAGGACCAGGTGACCTGCCACATATCGATGAAACTTTGTGATTGGGCCTTTGCCACCCAGCTTCTGCGCAGAATGCACCTTGATGTTGTGGGGTGGGCTTCGAGACGGTCGAGACTTAGAAGAGCGGTGACTGGAGCTGTGCGTGATAGTATCGAGTCTTTGTGGCAGGATCGATCTTATCTCAGTTGTTTTGGCAACGTCGCTCAGATCGATCTTTGAACGTGCTTGGTGGGCTCCTGGGCTCCTCGGTCCACCCTGGCAGGATTTGGTTGACTCCCCTGTCTTGCGGTTATTACCTAAATCAATCTAAATCATTTTAATCCAAAAAGTCTAGCATAGGTTGTGCAGGATCTTGAAAACAGAGATAAACAGAGAATAACCATGAAGAACCCTACAGACCAGGAGTTCCAATGGTACTATGAAGTGGTGTTCTTTTACAGAGAGTCTCGCTCTTTTTGTTCCTTTCTCTCTCTCTCCCTCCCTCCGTCTCTCTCTCTCTCTCTCTGTGTCTCTCCCTCTCTCCTCACCACATGCACAACAATCATGGACACCGCTGAAACACATCAATCAGTGGACTAATTGCCGGATCAGATTCTACTTTGCCGGATCAGCTTCCAGGATCAGATTCTTAGGGTTTTAGGTTTAGTGTTCAAATGCCGATCTGACCAAGTGGATTCCGATCCCACGATTCCGATCCGACCAACACCCTCAATCAGTGTCCATGTCGCTTTGCGCTAGCTCGCCCTGCTCTCTGACTGAGGCAGGCCTTGACGTTGAGATCTGACCTCATCTCTTATAGCTCTTTGATGAGTCCCAGCTCCGGCCAGTCACTTGGTGGAACTGCAACAAATCCTAGATCGAATCGGTAGCTAGAACCCCTAGAGGAGATCAACAGCAGAAGAACCCGGAACAACGCCTAGGCGGCCCTAGCTTCAACGATTTCCAATTGGCTTGCAATGTTTCAGATGCGATTCTGTTTTTTTCTTTCATGATTCCATATGATTCGATGTCTTCTTGCGGTGTCAGTCGACACTCGGTTTCCCTCGTATTCCGAGGCCTTGGGAACTCTCCCTGGCGCTTCTCGCCCAGTTGCAGGGCATCTCCTTGGAGCGGGACCTCATGGTACAGAACACGGTGACGAGTCACTGAGATCAATCACTGTGAAGATGAAACCACTATGGATCCACTATGGGCAAAACAATGGTGATCCGTCAATCCACCATGGATGAAACATGATAAACATTAACGACTAAATATATATAGCTATATATAATATATTCACTTCAATCGGGAATGTACCTGGGGATGCATATGTGATTTTTATGCTGCTCCCCGACATCCATCAAGCAAGCTTGGGGAAAGAACCCCCAACCTGCACAGCGTAACAACTCCAAGGCGCTTTCCTTTGGTCAGATTCCTTGTACAAAATATATGTGCTTAATTGCAGACCTTTGTTGCTTTGTCAACAAGACGTTTGAACTTTCTCATGCCCATTGTCCTGCCCCAGCATGCACACACAAATGCAAATAGCCGGCCATCGCAGCTTCACCTCCCATCATCCAGTCAGAAAGACTTGACCCCTATATGTGCTGGTTGTACAAGGGCAACAGTTGCAGAGGAATCCTTCCTATAGTAATATATAGTTATAATATACATATACACGTACAACTGAATTCATTGCTGCTTCCTTCACTCCTTCACTACAAATCAATGACACCTGACACCGGCACGCTACAACTGCTGTGTTCTCCTTCTTGCCCACTCCTGGTGGAAAACCGGTGCCTTTTTTCAATTTAGCCTAGCAAGTCGCATGACTCTGTACAAATTCTTCATCGATCACACATGTTCAGCCTGCATAGGAGCTTCCAAAAAGAACACATGCATAAAGGAGAACCGTACCAAAAATGCATATATCCCAGGTAGCATGCATCAACTCCACTGCACCCTTTGGTTTGTTGCCGGGTTCGAACAGAGGCTCGATCGCTGCAGACACCGCGTGGCAGCTGAGCGCATCTTTGCTGACACAGCTCCCATTGGTCCAGCTGCGCGTGGATGCGGTCGCCACTTGGGCCGGTGTCAAACGGCTGGCCATTTCGGCTGCCCCGTTCCGGTGTGACAGATTTTGGTGGATGGGGCGGGTGTCAATGGGGTTGTCCGGAGTTGGAGACAGCAAAGCCGCTTTTGGTTTGATACAGATTTTCCGAGCTTCGTGGACGCCACACGAGACCCGCTTCAAGGCCCTATACGGATGGTCAAGACCGATCCGTTCGCAGATGTGCCTCGCTGGTGACAAGTCAGCTGGATCCTTTATAGAATACCTGCACCGTACAAGATCATACAAGATCCAAACATATCAAACATCAGCCAGCGGCCCAACTTCATTCCGTGAAAGATCTGGCATCCTTTTTGACCCCTCATATGCAGAGGTCGGGAAACTGCAGGGATTGGCTGAAGAAGCCCAAGCAACAGCAAACATCAGGCCTACAGCGAGGTGGCGGTGGCACTGGCCCGTGGTGCTTTGTGGCAGAAGACGCTTCAAAGCCTCCTGGCAGAGTCTCCACAGTCTGATGGATTTCAGCCAAAGCCCGCTTGATAAATGTAGGTGGTTTGTGTTTCGGCACTAGAGTGACCCAAACATGTGCCCCTGACAGATCCACGGATTCTCCAACCAGCCGAGTTGCCCCGCAAGGGCACGCTGGGAACCCCTGCAGCAATGGTCCTGCAAGTTGGCTCAATCTCATGACATCATCATAGCATATCATACCTCTTGCCAAATGAAAGAGCGGCCACCGGGGAGCAGTTCAAACATGGCATTAACCTGGGCATGGGACCCACGCTAGAGATGCAAGTAGAAAAAGAAAGAACACACACTATTTGATACTATAATTACATTTTTTGGATATCGTTTGATATATCCGAGCAAGTCGATATATCTAAATGTAAATCGATAAATACATTTACTAATGCAATCTAATACATATACATATTTTTATGTGTATACACACTCAACTTCCAAGTTAACCACATTGTGGTCCTCAAGAAAATCCCATCAGCCAATCACTTCAGAACGTATCGCCATGGAATCCACTTTTGGCTCTACAAGTGCGTCGTGTGAGTGGCTCATGTGACATGGAGGATGAGGTCTACAGGGATCATTGCCTCATAATTGTTGGTGACGGAGGTCAAGCTGACAAGGTGTTGGCCAAGAGGCGTTTGGCAGCTGGCGGCCGTTTGGCCCACTTCCTGGTTCAAGATGAGCAGGTGAGGGCTTCTAGCTGAAAGGGTAGGGGAATTAGGGGAAGATCAAAGATGCGAATGATTAGTTTCAGTTGAACATGTTGAAGAAACCAGTTTTGATAGAGATTTTTTGGAATGATGGCACGCATCCCAGAAGGTCAAAGATTCAAGTTCAGTATCATCAGTCATCAGTATCTATATTGCAATTGTTGCGTCAGTTTGCATGGGCAAGCTTGTGCTTGAGGTGAAGATTGAGGATAGCATGGAAGGCACTATCTTTGCTTGGCACCCTCCTTATGGCATGAAAAACTCCACATTCGGGCGAAAGTTGGGAGCTTCCTTCAGGACGGAGCTGGAAAATCACGTGGGCTAGGAGGTCGGGAGGTTGGGAAAACTGACATCGCGTGGCTCGTTGTGCGAGGTTGTTGGCTTCAAACGTTCTTTCAAAAATGTACTGCTTTGAGGACTTACTGGACGACCACAGGCCCAGATTGCATGGAGGTGGCACCAGGGCAAACCTTGCACATTCGCACCGGGGAAAGGATGAGGCTGGTGCAGCTCGTGGACAATGGTTGCATTTTGGTTGAGACCTGGACGCAAGAGTTGGAAAAATGGTCCTGCTTATATTAAAGGCTTATATTGTATCTACAACATTGATCAATATTACAAAAATGTAAACATCAGTCAAGAGCGCGGTTTCAAAGACAGAGATCATGCTACTATATAGCCTTATGATCATAGTGTCATAGTGTTCCCTACTGCAACAGGAACAGGAACTCTCCCAGGGAAAAACAAACACATGTGGACGTGGAACAAAGAGAGGTATGTGCGTCATTGACCTTGAAGCGTATCGGAACTGGAACATGAACTGGAACCTTCCTCCCCCAGAGGAAAAACACCTAAAGTACTATATAGTACTTGAACCATTGCATCGGAACTAGAAGTGGATCTGGAACTGAAACTGGATCCTCCCTCCAACCACCCAGATACTTGGAACTGGAACTGGGACATGAACTTGAACCCCCCTTGCACCTGGAACTGGATCTAGAACAGGAACTGGCTGGAACTGTTCATTCCAACCACCCGGGGCACACTCTGCTTATGATAGTGCAGAGGGGTTAACTGTTGCGTTTAAGTTTAGTCATGGACATTCCAACAAACTACATATTCTTTATTTACACACGATGCATTTGTCACACTTGTCGCTGGGTTTTTGCAAGAATTCCTTGAGTCTTTGGTTTTTGGTTGTGACTCATGGATTTAGACTCAGGAGATATCTGGTTTGGTGATCTACAAACCTGACTTGACCCTGGCACAGACCTTGGAGGTCGAGGCGCACAGACTTGGGAGGTCGAGGTGTTTTTTGCCATGCAATTGATGATGCAACGAAGCTACATGAAGCTATTGACTACATTTGATAGCTGTTCCAATGGGATTTGTGTTGATTCCTCAGGATTTGATACCTTTCCGGGGTGTGTTCATATGTTGGGATTTGGGTCTTTCCAAACGAATCCGAAAGATGGAAATGCCGCCACCTCCCCGTGGTTGATCGGCGCATTTGTCGCCGGTGGGAGGTTCGCAATCCTGAGCTCCGTGCTGCTGGGACCTTCTCTTGGCGCTATGTGCTGGGCTCGTGGCATGGCGTGAGGAAGTACGGGTCTCCAAAGATGGAATCCGCTTTGATTGGAATCCCCGGATCAATTCCTCGCAAGGTTTGCTGAACAGACGACTGTCATGTTCATCATGTTCAATTCTTCAATAGGCTTCATGTGGGGTATATAGTTATATTAGAGATATGGCGGGGTTGAATAGAACGTGTTGCCGTTTCCGTCACAGATGTGTTCTTGTTGCTCTCCCGTGAGATGCTTCAGATCATTCGCATATATTCACGACTGCCTCCTGGAAGACTGCCTTCTGGAACAAGGCCAGGCTAGACGACAATCGGCTGTCCCACTTACACACACTTATGGATATGTGTACCCTAGGGTACCATTTCCTAAGAGTACAAGTACGAACCACAGGATCCTCGAGGTCTTCAAAAGGAAATGGGCCCAAAAGCACAAGGCGAGGTCGAGACGACAGGGTGACGACGGCCGCTCACATTTGCAGATGCATTAGCACTTTACCAAAGGATTGAAATTTGCAGGTACGTCCAGCTGGCCAAGCTGGATATCCCATTTCACTGGTAGCTTCGTTGGACACAGTCCCAGTGAAATGCTGTGTCCCCCTGCTGAAAACAAAACGAATTACAATTCAAAAGAATCTCGGTGACTACAAGGGGCACACACACACACGCCTCCCCGAGGGGAGGCGTAAAGCTAAGGTGAGGGCAAATGTGCGCGTGTGCGCGCACAAGAGACAAAAGAATGAAGACATGACAGGAGGACGAGACGGGACAAAGGTGCGTGTGGTTGAAATGAAAGGGGAACCAAGTGCACAGCGACACCCGATGAAGCCCACCTCATTGTAAAGACCTGGGCGACCTGAAACCTGTGTTGAAATGTACGTAGAAGTGCACGTACACACTAAGGCCGGGACCAATGTGTGCGCAAACGAAGAAAAGGATGAGATGACCAGACTTGAAGACAGGAGGACATGAAAGAAAAGAGGAAACAAAAGTGTATGAAGGGGAAGGGAGGAAAGGGGAACCAAATGGAGGGGACGAGAACCGATGAAGCCAAACCTCATTACAACGACCTAGAAAACCTGCCTCGTTTCAATGTACATGCTGTATGTGCACCCAAGGTCGCGACAGGTTCCAACGAACCTCAAAAGTACTTCGGTCGCTCTGACCACGTTGAGGCGTTAAGCCAGCTTGGACCGCTGCGGTCACGTAAAGGCATGAGCCAACTTGGAGTTCAATAATTCGTCAGGTCTTGGCAAGTAACTTTGGCATAAGCCTCCTACGCCCGCTCTGGGCACGTGCGTTTCCACGGCATTGGAAACAGAGACAGACACCCGATCGACGGGTCCACGGGAGGCACTCGACGGGCTCATCCCGGATATGTGTACGGACGGACAGCGGTGCCACACGCCGGCCTAGGGTACCATTTCCTAAGAGCACAAGTACGAACCACTGGGTCCTGGAGGTCTTCAAAAGGAAATGGGCCCAAAAGCACAAGGCGAGGTCGAGACGACAGGGTGACGACGGCCGCTCACATTTGCAGATGCATTAGCACTTTACCAAAGGATTGAAATTTGCAGGTACGTCCAGCTGGCCAAGCTGGATATCCCATTTCACTGGTAGCTTCGTTGGACACAGTCCCAGTGAAATGCTGTGTCCCCCTGCTGAAAACAAAACGAATTACAATTCAAAAGAATCCCGGTGACTACAAGGGGCACACTCTGACATGGGTTTTCTGTTAATCAATTCCCAGGTGGAAAGGTGAGGGAACAGCAAGGCGAAAAGTCCAAGAATTCGAAGATGTTTCAACAATGGTTTGGTGCACATCTGCAGTTCACGAACGCGCGGCAGCTGAAAGCGGCAGAAGGAGTAGGTTTAGGGGGAAGTATCGTGGAACCACTATGGAAACAAACAAGGAAAGAGTGGAGTCACAGCTTGTAGAAAAGTTCTCGCAGGTACACACGGGTGATCAATCCGTGCTTCCCACTCCAAGGCATAGCTTCGTTGCACTGAGTTTGCCAAGGAGTGCTCAGTGCCCCTGCTTGGAACCATGATTTCGATGTGAAAACCCTTAGGGACAGGGTTTGACACACACACACACACACACGGTGCCGCTTTGCGGCGCTCGTGCGAACGACCTGAATAGGTACCTAAAAAGCCTTAGAAACAAAAGAAAGAAACGCAGAAAGAGCAGCGGCTAAGAGGGCAAGAGAGAAAGGTAGGAGTAGAAAAAATTGAACGACCAAAAGCGCAAGAAGGAAAGTGGGGGGGCAGGGAGGTGTATGTACATGTGTGTGTCCGTGTGTGTGTGTGTATGAATACTTAGCACTCTAGAATTACTGATTACTTAGTGGAAGTGAATTAAATGCCATAGTTAGGGAGCGGGACTTTAGTCTTAGACCGCCCGGGTAGAGAAACCTAGAAAAAGGACAACAGAGGGAAAGGCACCGACACACAAGTGTGCCGAGTACCATTTCCCTCTGTTACCCTAATTAGTGGGTGGGAGGGGTTGGGGTGTTTGGGGTAGAAACCGCGTTTGGGTTCATTCTCCGTACAAGCCCGGCGGCTGTTGATTCAGTTAGTTGAAACCGTATAAGCCCGGCGGCTCGAAAGGCAGTCAATCCAGTGGTGAAAAGGAGTCAGTTAAGAAAATCCAAGGAATGATGGATCCGAAAAATCCATTACACGGTTTCCAGCATGGCTTCAGCGCCCCAGTGACGGGGATCACACCCAGCACCCAAGTGGGACGGCTGAGCGGTTCACACTCTGACATTGGTTTTCTGTTAATCAATTCCCAGGTGGAAAAAGGTGAGGGAACAGCAAGGCGAAAAGTCCAAGAATTTGAAGATGTTTCAACAATGGTTTGGTGCACATCTGCAGTTCACGAACGCGCGGCAGCTGAAAGCGGCAGAAGGAGAAGGTTTAGGGGGAAGTATCGTGGAACCACCATGGAAACAAACAAGGAAAGAGTGGAGTCACAGCTTGTAGAACAGTTCTTGCAGGTACACACGGGTGATCAATCCGTGCTTCCCACTCCAAGGCATAGCTTCGTTGCACTGAGTTTGCCAAGGGTTGCTCAGTGCCCCTGCTTGGAACCATGATTTCGAGGTGAAAACCCTTAGGGACAGGGTTTGACACACACACACACACACACGCACACACACCGAGTGTGAACCTTCAAGGTTCTTCCACGCCTTAAAAATTCACAGTGGCAATGCACCCTAGAAATTCTTGGCTTTGGTGATTGCATTGTGCGTGATGCAATCATGCATTTTTTAGAACATTTAGTTCAACTTGTAGAGGGGTGAGAGCCATGAACTTGTTATGGCAATAGATCGACAGATAAGGGAAGGGTTGGTAGAAAAAGAACATGCCACTTCCCTTCAAATTTCGGCATGTTCAGAGGAAAAAACTTACTTAGCCTAGCGACTTGGTAGCCACTGGAGTCTTGTCGAGCCAAGGATGGCCCTACAGCTCTTTTGGCATGTCATCCGATGGGTGGTGTCCATGCATTTTGAGCGAAAGTCCGTTGGTGAAAGTCCCTGGTGGCGTGGAGCTCTTGTGACTACGAATGGGGTCACTTTTTGCACTTGGGGTCTTTTCCATACATGGGCTGCCAGCCTTTCAGGTGAAGTTGGAACAGCCAGCGCCCAGAAACTTGTGCCCATCGTAGTTGTGATTCTTCCAATGGTGGCCATGGGCACAGCACAGCTTGCTGACTACCCACTCTCACTGGCTGGGCTGGCCATTATCTTTCTGGTTGGCCCGACCCTGCAATACTACCAGACACGTCCTGATCATCCGGAACGCCGTTTCCTTCCATGCTTTGTGTGGACCATCGCACAGTTGGTAGGAACCGTGGGAGTCTCTGCTCTTTTGGCCGTCATTGTGGTCTCCTACCGGCTGCTGGTCGCAAGCAGGCAACTGGTTTTGGCCTCATTCTTCTTGCCGGTGTGCACAGCTTTGGTTGAAACTGGAGGTGTGCTGTACACCAAGATCCTGTACGCTAGGCTGGTTGTTCAAAAGCGTCCATTTGTGCCAGGAGACATCTCATGGAGCGCCATGATATACATGATAACAGGGTCTCATGCATTTTCGGAGGGTGCACGACTGGTGGCGGTCTTCTCTGGCGCTGTGAGCACCGGTGCCTATGGTTGGGTGGGCAGTTTGGCAGCGACACTGGTGCTGAACGTGCTGGTACGATCAGGGTGGTTGCGCTATGGGTGCTACTGCATGGCGAAGAAGATCGTTGGCACAGAGCGCGCCTTTCACGCGTTGGCCCCCACGGCTTGGAGCAAACTCCATGATGAAATGAAGATCTATGGTGGATACTTCCGGTTTATTGTAGTCCTGTCTTTGGTGCTGGCGCGAGCACTGGTCTATCAGGAAGCTTCAACTGGGAGATCTCCTAGCTTCAACACCTCGGCAGCATGGGCCTTGGTCAGTATGCTCCTCATGGAATACCTGGAAGATCACATTGTGCTGTGGGAAGTGGTACCTATGAGCCCCACCACCTCCGAGTTGGTTGATGAAGAAGTGCACCGGGCAGCACATGTTGGTCAAGGAGCCTTGATAAGTCTGGATTTGAAGTCTGCGCAGTCGGCAGGTCCCTGGTGCCTAGACGAGTTGGACGACAACGGCTTTAAGCTTGTCAACCGTGCACAGCCGTCCTCATCAGCCCTGCAGCTTGACAGAGCGTCTGACAAGAAGGCGGTCAAGTGTTCTTCAATCGTCCCAGTGTCTCCTGAAGGTGGAGAGGAATCGGGTAGTGAATCAGCTTTCAGGGAGCCAGCGTTGACATTGTCAGACGCCCGGCCGCCCCGGCCTCTCAACAAATCCTCCGGCTCTTCAGCCGTACCTCAGATGGTGTCCCACCCAGAGACTGGAAGAGCTGCGCAAGAGGATGCGCAGCAGGTTGACCAGCAGCCAGAGCAGCCAGCACCTGCGTGTGTACCACCGCCCATGCAAGAGCTTCGGATGTTGGACATGGAGGCCGAGATGCTAGGGCAGCCATGCTTACAAGCCTCCCTGGGCCCCTTGCGCACAAGCACGCCCTCACGAGTACGGCGGTGGTTTGGCCAGCAGCGGCACGTGGTGCCCTCCCTTTTGTTGCATGGACTGAGGGAGATGCCCTGGTTTGTCCAATTGAGCGCCGTTGGAATCACTTGCGAGGTCACGCTTGGTTTTCTCAACACGACTTTGGGTCCTGGCTATCTCCGAGGGATGATCACAGAACCTTGTCAAGACTTTGATGCTCTAGTAGTTCTTTGGTGGCCCACGCCCCTGGTTTGCTAAGCAACTGAGGAGCTGTCCCGGCCAGTTTAAGACTTTTCCCAGTGGTTCCAGCCATCAATTGTAGGCAACCAATTGAGCCCATGATCCATGGAGTTTGAATGTTTGCCCAACTGCCATCCACCCGCTTGACCGGTGCGTTGAATCCACCAGTCTTTTGGGTCCGGAGCTTCGTGATCCGTGCGATGTCCCGCCTTTCTGGCACCGGCGAAACACCACTCCGTGTCGACTGATTACGGGCGACTTGGCTTATGCGTCATCAGTTTTCAGAAGACTTGCACGCATTCCTACGAAGTGCGTATTGTGAAGGCAAGCTTTCAGTGAGTCCAATTAACAATGTAATCCACAACTGTGTTCCATTGTAGAGGTCCAATCCAAGGCCATTCTCCCAACAACTCAATCCGCTCCACGGTCCCACGGTCCACAACATACAAAGTGCATCAAAGTGCATGATCTTATCTCAATGATCTCCATCCATGGGCGCAATTGGGCTCCTGAGCTTGGGATATAGAGAGATAGGCTCCACATGTGGACCATACAAAGCTGGACGCACGCCTGTGGCCAAAAGAAGCGAAGATCACATACAACGTGGCTACTGATTTGCAGAGATGGCACTCGTGAGGTCAAGTGCAAAGGCTTGGCCATGATGATATCAGATGATCACATATGAGCACCATGTAGTTTTATTAGTAGCTTGATCAACCTTTTTCAGATTATGCAGCACTCCTGGCACTCCTCCAATTCTGATCGCATTTGGCAAACACGATGTTGAATGGCCTCATGTTCCACCCCTTCAGCGTGCCAAACGCGGCCAACACACCTATCCTTGGCACCAGTTTTGGTGGACATCGCGCATGAACATGGCATGAAGTTACATTCTTGTGTGTGACTCTTCCTGGCTGGATGTGTCCCCACCACTGCAATAGAACCTTTTAGAATCGTCTATCCACAAGCTTCGGGCCTCAAAAAGAAAAACACATCTTGACCAGGAGTTCCATCTTGGAATGGTTTCTTCCTGATAATTGTTTCTTCCCCCGGTGCACCCCTGGATGGCCTGGGTCCCGCTCCGCATGCGGCCTCCAACCCCCGAGTCCCGTCCCAGGTGCCTGGGGTGCCGGCCGGAGGGTGCGCCCGGTCGGAGTGGTCTCCTTCAATGCGGCCGTGAGCTCCATGGACCGACCGAGTGGTGAAGGGAAGAACGGAACACCACCGAGGGTCGAGGGTCGGTGGAGCACATGAGCTTCACAGGATCACCAGATATAAACATGGTAGTGAACATGGTAAAATGATTGTAAAACAATGCAAGAGGACATCCAAACATCATATCAATGACTTGTTTAAAGATCGTGTAGGATGCCCCCGGTGACAAAACACGACAAAACTACTTACTGTATAACAAGACTCTCTTAGCCGCCTTAGCCTTCAGGTCTGAACGAAGGTCACATGTTTGTGTTTGGCCCCATTTGGGTTGAGATCGTGATGGCATGTCATGTTTTAAGAGTTGTGTGAGTTGTACGCTGTACAACACGTTTTCACTTGAAGCACACCCGTCCGCACCGCAGGGCGGGCTTATGAGCTCAAAACAGGTTTCGGCCGCGACGCGCGCGAGCGCGTCCCAATTCGTTTTGCGGTGTGTCTTGGCCCTGTCGACTTCTACTTTCTTGGCCACCTGGACCGTGACTACACACCACCCGCTACGTTGGACCTCGTTTGCCATCGTTAGCTTCGCATTGGTAGCGGAGCCCAAACCCGTGAAGGGGGAGGGCTCCAGCTGCGCACTCCGGTTCCTCGAGCCGCACGCTCTCGACAAGTCCTTCGGTGACTTCCCTCTGCGGACTTGGCCACGCTCCTGTTTCCTGAGTTCTTTGTTGGACACCCTTTTGGGAGGAGCACGGCGGAGATCTTTGTCCCACAGAATGCCGCCGCCAAAGCAGCAGAAGGGAGATGGAAGAGGAGCGTCGAGCTCGACGACATCCAAGCCAGAAGAGACTGGCTATGCTGACCTTCGGGACTCCTATGTTCCCCTCTTCTCCGGGCAGCCGGCCGACTACAAGGAGTGGCGTCAACGCATCCAGCTCTACCACCGCAAGATGTCGCTCTCCAAACGGTCCCAAGAGAGTGTTTTGAACATTGTCGGATCGTTCAAGGGTGTAGTCTGGCGCCTATTTGAAGACTGGGGCATCGACAAGCTGGAGAAGGACAACGCCTTTGAAGACATGCTCAAGGTGTTGGATGGCAATTTCGCCTACGACCAACGGGTCCAGTTGCCATCGGACTTCGAAGGTTACTTCTCAGGTCTTCAACGGCTCCCTGGTCAGACGCTCCTCACCTACGTCAATGACCATGAAGAGGCCTACAGGAAGCTCTTGGCACACAAGGTGAGCCTTCCTGATGAAGTCCAAGGTTGGCACCTCCTCCGTCGTGCAGCGCTGACGAAAGAACAGCGACAACTCCTGATGCTGAAGGCACCCACCCTCGAGAAGGCCACAGTCATTGAGGCCATGTACCTGATTCTTGGACAAGACTACAAGGGTGGAGGTTGGAACCACGACCGCAATCGGCGATTCTCCAAGTGGACCAACAAGGCCTACACTGCTCAGGACGATTGGGAGGAGATGGATGAAGAACCAGTCTGGGAGGAGACTGGCTACTACGAGGAGGACTACCCCATCGGGGACTATGACCATGAGGAGGGTGATTTTGATGATGAAGCTGGTTACTATGGAGGTCAGGACGACGATGCACCCTGGCCGGACTCCAATGAGACCACGAGTCCAGAGCAGATGGCTGAAGAGTTTGACACTGCCTTCGCCTCCTACACAGACGCTCGCAAACGCTTCAATGAGTTGAAGATGGCTCGTGGCTTTCTCCCTGTGGTTGCACTCACTGAGCAACAGCCTCTGCAGACAGCGGCTTCTTCGTCCTCATCCCCTACGGCATCCTCATGGCAGAGAAAAGGAAAAGGAAAAGGGGGAAAGAACAAAGGAAAAGGTCGTGGCCCCTCGGCGACCATTCGCTTCTCCCCACAAGGAGCTGGAAAGAGTGATCCAAAAGGAAGAGCACGCGCCAACATGACGTGCCTTCGTTGTGGACAACAAGGTCATTGGGCTGCAAACTGTCCACAATCCAGCTCGCCTACCTCAAAGGGCTCAAGCTTGAAGCGACCTGCACCAACCGAGAGTATGGCACAAGTGGCTGAACAAGCCCTGATCATCTTCGAGGACAAGAACGGCACTCAGCGTCCTGACTGTGTGATGCTGGATCCTGGTGCCAGTGCCTTTCTCTCAGGATATGGTCCCTTCCGTCGCTACTTGGAGCACCTCAAGTTCGACTGCAACTTCCCCATTGAGAAGATTGCCATGACCCAAGGAAAACGAAGATTCCAGTTCGGTGGCGATGCTGCATCTTGGTCTACCTGGTCGGCACACCTCCCAGTGTTCCTGGATGGTCGCTATGGAACAGTGCAGTTGTTCCTCTTGCCCGGCAACACGCCTATGTTGTGCGGTCGCCCCATCATAGAGGCTCTTGGCATGACCATGGACTTTGCCATGAAGCGGATTCGCATTGGCAGTTCAAGTTGGCAAGAAGCAACCATTGGCCGTCAAGGTGAGTATTTGCTCTCGCTCACGATGGAGCACGACCTTATGCAGTACGACCCTGACCAGCCTGACTTCGCCCTCAAGACCGCTGAACCTGATCTACCTCAGATTGATGGCTTCACCCTGCACGACTTTGAGCAGGAGGAACAAGGGTTCACAGTCAGTGAACGAGCTGAAGTGGTGGACGACACTGCCACCAAATGTCTCCGACGACATGACCTCAACACCATGGACGTGCAGCTCAGGACTCACCTCAATGAGCTGTCAGCCTATGTGACACGTCACCTACATCCTCCAGAACAACAGCCGAAGCGTGTCCTCTGGGAGGTCTACTGCGGCTCAGCTCGCACTTCACAAGTGGCTGAAGCGCTGGGGATGAGTGTTCGATGTTTCTCATTGGATACTGGCTGGAACTTAGATCGACTTGATCATCAAGAAGCCTTCCTTCGTGAGCTCGATGAAGAAGCACCAGATGAGCTACTCATGGCACCTGAATGCAAGCTCTGGAGCCGCATGCAAACCCTGGCACGAAGAACACCTGCACAGCAAGAAGCACTGATTGCAGCTCGACATCATCACCATGATCGTCATCTGTGCTTCGTCCGCCGTGCCTACCTCAAGCAAGTTGAAGGTGGACGACACGCCCATGTGGAACAGCCCAAGCATGCGCTCTCCTGGAAGACCAAAGCACTTCGTGACTTACCTGGTCGTCGCGCCGATTTTGACCAATGTCGCTATGGAGCAACATGTCAAGATGAAGACATGGTCTGGCGCCCAGTTAAGAAGAGCACCACCATCATGACCACCAAGCAGGCAATGCAGAATGCCCTCACGCTGACGTGCAATGGTGAACACGATCACTGTGCACTGGAAGGATCTGCTCTTGGTCTTGGCCCTCGCACCAAGTACATGGAGAACTACCAGCCTGCACTTGCAAGCACCATTGCTTCTGCACTCCTCATCGATGAAGCACCTCAAGCTTGCGAGACGGCGCACACGTCTTCAGAGCAGAAGCTGGTGACTGGCAACTTGGTCAAGCTGCGTGTTGATACGAAACAAGAGGCCATCCGAGTGGTTCAACGTCTCCATAGAAACCTTGGTCATCCTTCCACGAAAGAGCTCACCGAACTGCTGGCCGCTCGAGGAGCGAATGAAGAAGTACTTCGTGCTGCACGCACCTATGTTTGTGTGGCTTGCGCTAAGTACAAGAAGCCTGCAGATGCTGCACCGGCATCTCTACCTGTGAGCACCAAGTTCAACGATGTTTTGCAGGCAGATGTCTTCTGGCTGCGTCTCAAGAATGCCGTCAAGTACCCCGTCCTCAGTGTGGTTGATTTGGCAACTCGCTACACGGCAGCCATCCTGTTGCGCTCAGAGCAATCCGAGGAGCACATCCGTGGTCTTGAACGTTGCTGGATTGCACACTTCGGAGCCCCACAGCGACTTGTCACTGATGAAGGACGTGGATGGCTTAGTCAGACCTTTGAGACCTGGACCAACGCCCACGGCATTGAGCACATCGTTGCCCCTGGTGAGGCACATGAACGTCTGGCCATCGTTGAACGAAGACATGCCATCCTTCGCAAGTCCATTGAGGTCTACATGGATGACATGCAACTGAATGACGCCTCTGGCATCAAGGAGTCGCTTACCTACTGTGTGCCCCAGATGAATGGCACGCCCTCAGTTGCTGGCTTCTCTCCGACCCAATGGGTTCTTGGACACCAACCTCAACTTGCTGGCAGTCTTCTTGGTGACAACTTCCGCCCTGGACACTTTGGCGGACACGAAGCCTTTGAGGCCATGCTGAACAAGCGCACTGCTGCTCAGAAAGCTTTGATCGAAGCTGATGCCGATCGTCGCCTTCGACGTGCTCTTGGTGCCAAGTACAAAGGCTTGAACTCCGAGTACAGCCTTGGTCAACAAGTTTGGTTTTGGCGTGACGCCAAACAGCCCGATCTGGTGAAGATTCGTTGGCTTGGCCCTGCCCAGATTGTCATGAAGGAGTTCAAGGCTGATGACACTGGACAGCAGCGAGTGAATGTATACTGGCTGGCCTACAAGACCCAGCTGATCCGCTGTGCACCTCACCACGTCCGTGCTGATGTCAAAAGCTCAGGACATGCCCTGGATGATGTGCAGAAAGCTCTCACTTCGGTTCGTCAGCTCAAGTCTCGAGGAGTGACCAGGTACTATGACCTGCACAACTTGAACAAGCGCAACCTCGCAGAGGTCGAGACAGATGAGCACTCCGAAGAGCTTCATGGTGATGTGATGGAAGAAGACTCTGACCACGAGATGACACCACCAAGACGACGACCACGCCTACTGCCACCTGGCGTGGAACCTCCTCAGGCCTCAGAAACTGCTGCAGCACCGACCTCCATGCCACCTGGCATTTCATCGGCGGCACCGGCAGTACCCTCGGCTGAGGAGTACGAACCAACATCACCAGCACACACAGAGCCACAAGACATAGCATCACCAGCGGCAGCGGCAGATACAAACGACACGGCAGCGGCAGATACACAAACCCCAGGTCCACTACCACGGGTCCCAAGCTCGATCTCAATATCCGAGCCAAGCGAGGAGCCGCCTGCCATCTCGGCAGCTCCAACACCTCATGCATCACGACCACAAGCAAGCATGACCCAGGAGCGACCATCGCTCGATCCGGTGACCGCCCAACTGTATGAGACAGTTGAAGGTGAAACCTTTCAGCAGAGGAGAGCCCGACTGAATAAGCAGGAGACTCTCAGCTTCGCGCCTTTCCGAAGCAGACCGAAGCCACCTGACACGAGGCCATATGATCCTGAACATCATCCACCACGACCAAATGACGAGCATGAGCTAGCTGGCCAGGCCTTCTACCTGGACGACCTGGACACCAAAATGCTGCCCAGCGGATGGTTCATGGATGAACATGGATTCCTCCAACTACATGATCGCACCACCGACTACTGGGAGCTGAAAGCTGGCTGTCTGATCAGGCATCATGTTGTGCCCCGTCGTGGACGCCTACATCTTGAGCATCTTCCCAAAGATTGCCCGGTCAATCCTGACCAGCTGGACAGTGTGCGTGTGACACTGATACACCAAGGTGGAGGCAAGAGCCGTTTGACCACTGATAGCGGCTACGATGGCAGTCCTCCCCCTGAAGTTGAACACACCTGGACTGGAGCAACCATCTTCCAGCTCCACGGCAATACTCGCAGAGAACTTGCTATGTACAGTGGACACCAACAGTTCACAAGTGCAAAACAGCAAGGAAAGGACCAAAAGCTCGCCAAACAGAAGAAGTTCAAGAAGGACAAGAGCGCAGTGAATGAGCGGGCATTGGGTCCACAAGAGCGAGCGATGTTCAAGGAGGCCAAGGTGAAGGAGTTGAAAAGTTTCTTTGACCACCATGTGTGGATCTTCCAGTCCACCAAGGAGGCAGACCCATCCAGGACTTTGACGTCAAGAATCCTGTTGAAGTGGTCTCGGAACCCTGACGGTTCTCCAAGGGCGAAAGCTAGATTGATCGTGCGCGGTTTTGCTGACCCCGACGCCCTGGCTGGAAGCATTGAGACATCAAGTCCCACCACAACTCGCCTGTCTCGCTCTATGTTGCTGTCCCTGGCTACCACTATGCACTGGACCACCTGGACCGCTGACGTGAGCACCGCCTTCTTGCAGGGGCGTGAACAGGACAGAAAGTTGTGGGTAAAGTTGCCATCGGAAGCGCTGGCTCTCTTGGGTGCAGATGAAGACACCCGCATGTTGCTTCTGAAGCCTTGCTACGGCCAGATCGATGCGCCCAGAGGCTGGTATCTTGAGGCAGTTGATCGCCTTCGCCGTGGAGGTCTTCGGCAACACGCCCTCGATCCATGTGCATTTCTCATCTATGAGACTGGTGATGACAACTTCAATGAGCACGACCCCATCCACCAGCAGGTCAACTCACTGGGATCTGAACGCCTGGTGGGCATGGTCATCATGCACGTGGACGACCTCTTGGGAGCCGGCTGCCCGAACAGCCCTCGATATGCTGCAGTCGTTGAACAGCTCAAAGAAAACTTCTCCTTCCGGGAGTGGAAGGAAGATCTCGATGTGATGGAGTACTGTGGTTGTGAGCTGCAGCGCACACCTGAAGGTGGAAGAAAATTGCACCAAGGCAAATACTTTGACAAGGTCAAGCCCATTGCCCATGACAAGAAGCTTCCTCTCCACCAGCCGCTCAACGAGCGTGAAGTGACTCAGTTGAGAGGCCTACTTTTTTCACTGCAGTGGCCCGCAGTACAGACCTCACCACATTTACAGTGCAGCACATCGTTGATGGCCGCCCATGTCTCCCATGCCACTCTGCAGACTGTCCAGGACTGCAACAGGCTGCTGAAGTTTGCAAAAGAGAACAAAGACATTGGCCTTGTCTACAACCACCTCGGTCCCACAGAGAAGTTGCGTTTGTTGTGTTTCTTTGATGCTGGTTTCTCCACTCGCCTCGATGGGTCATCGCAAGGTGGCTATGTGTTGATGATGGTCAACGAGGACCTCATGCATTCCGCCGAGGAGGGAGAATATCACATTTTGGATTGGCGCAGCTTCAAAACCCCGAGGGTGGCAAGGTCATCTTTGGGAGCTGAGGCACAAGCTGGCGGTCAAGCCAGCGACGCCGTTGACTTTGCTTGTCGGTTTTGGCACCATCTCATGGAGCCCCACATGCCCTTGAAGCAGTTGCTGGAGGTTCAGTCCTCCCTGAAGCCTGTGATGATCACAGATGCGAAAGCTCTCTACGACGCTTTTCATCGTGAAGGTGCAAGCTCATCCGTCGTGGACAAGCGTGTGAGCCTGGAGATTCGTGTGATGAAGGAGCGCTTGCTGGAACTTGGGGGAAACCTCAAATGGATGAGCAGCGATCGCCAGATCGCCGATGGCCTGACTAAGGAATCTGCTCGAACCTTGTTTGCAGCTCGCCTGAAGCACCAGAAGCTGAAGCTCACCTGGGATCCCACCTACAAGGCGATGAAGAAAAAGACCAAAGACGAGAAGAACACAGCCTTAGCTGAGACAACCTCCCAGGTCTATCACCAGAAGCCTGATGACTTCATCCCCAGGTCCGAGGAGATCATGGAAGAGGAGTTTGTTGGCCCGGAGGAGTTTGTGAACTTTGTTCACTCCACGGACATGATTCCGTATGTCCTCGCCACAAGCCATGTCGTGAAGAGCCGCATGAAGTGTGACATCAAGGGTCGCTCGAAGAATTTCATGTTTTGGATGATTTTCTTGTTTTTGCTGCAGTGCTGTCAAGCAGCACCTTCTACGTGTTTGGCGGATGAACCACCGCCACCACCGCAGCTGAGCGATGAGCACTGGTTGGCTCTCTTTGCAGCAGCACCCTTGGCGATTGCAGTGATCGCCTTCCTGCTGGGCCGATGGTCGAAAGGTGAAGAGAAAGAGAAGGAAGAGATGAAGATTGAAGAGGAGAAGGTGACCACCGCTGACGCCTTCACTCAGAAGGACGAGCCTGTTGTCCATGCACGACTTCGGGAAGCCCTGAAGACCGAGCAGGCCAGAGTGAATGAGTACAAGCTGGCAGCTCGCGAGTCTCGGCGAGCTGTGGATTTGGCCATGACGGAGATCCTCAACCTTCGTCCGCTCGTGCAGGATGCTGCACCCATGTTCCGTCGCCTGATCACCGCGATGGATGATCACATGGACCAATGCCCGCACCGACAGCCGATCGTAGCCTCCAAGAAGAATGGCATCTGCTGGCACTTTCCCACGTGCCACTGTGCGGAGCAGATCACCGAGCCGAACTTGCTGCAACTCCGCATCTGTGCCTACTGCGGAGATCATCGCAGTCCGCTCGACTTCCCGAGCCCAAATCCCTCTGTCTCGCAGGGAAACTGCTTGAGAGAAGAGGTGACAACGTGGCTGGCTGACTATAATGTTTGCCGGTCATGGTTTTCCGATCCGGAGCACAGGTAAGAACATCGCCTGTGTGAGTTGTACGCTGTACAACACGTTTTCACTTGAAGCACACCCGTCCGCACCGCAGGGCGGGCTTATGAGCTCAAAACAGGTTTCGGCCGCGACGCGCGCGAGCGCGTCCCAATTCGTTTTGCGGTGTGTCTTGGCCCTGTCGACTTCTACTTTCTTGGCCACCTGGACCTTGACTACACACCACCCGCTACGTTGGACCTCGTTTGCCATCGTTAGCTTCGCAAGTTGTTATGTTTTTGTCCTTCACGCAAGCGAGAATGCGCATATTGTACAATGTGTAGAAGAGCTGGGATGAACTGCGGACAGAAGCGGCTCCTGGTCCTATCACCGAAGCTGCTTTTGCTTCGAGCTGGTTTGCTTCAGGTGTTCAGCTTGGGGGTGGCAAGCTGGGTCCGTGATGAAGCGTCCTCGTCCCCCTAACCCCCCAGGCCCTAACCAGGTGTTTTTTCTCGTGTGATCCTCCAGGAGCGTGAAGGGCGGTGGGATTGGGCGTTGTGCATCATGAATTCCCTCCAAGACGATCGCAACTTGACGAGATGGGTTGGGGGATAGACGGCTGTGTGGAACTGGGAGGGATCAGAGGATCCTCGATAGATCTTCAGTTTATAAGCAGTTGAGGGCTCTAGATGGTTTGAGCAGTTTAAGGATCAAGCATATTTTGGCCCAACTGGCCCACCACAGCAGTCTTCTCCGTGAAATCCTGGGTGTTCCTTCTTCAGCTCCGAGAGGCCTGGAGGCCACGAGCATCACCTGCAACGCCGCCTTGAGCGCCTGCGGAAAGCGCGAAGAGTGGTCCACCGCGGTGGAGCTCTTTGCACGTGCGCAGCGCCAGGGCCTTGGCATTTCGGCACCGAACGGTGACGCCGCGCGCCACGGTGGTGAAGCGTTTTCTCCAAGTCGGAGATGGTGGTTTGGGATCAGGCGATATGGCAGTATGGGTACAAAACCTTGCAGGAAGATTCGGAAGAAGGCACTCGCAAGGGTGTCTTTTCTCAGATGAAATGATGTGGTGAAAAGCCGCTCATGTTGACTATGAACCTCCAGATGTTTGAGGCCGCTTCTCTCCCAGCCTCATCACCTTCAATGCCTTGATTGGCACTTGCCATTGGCGCCACTCGGCATCGAGGAACGCTTCGGACGCCTACAACTGCGTGTTTCTTGACACACACGCACACATGTGCAAATAATTTATAAATTGTCACTATATTGCATGCACGATCGTGCACATGTACTTCCAAGCATCGGCCCCACCAATTCAATGTTGAGCTTATGTTCAAGAACTTGCCATATGTGTAGTAGGCCCTATGGAGTCGTTGATACAGCTGTTTTTTGTACTTGGTGGGTTTGTAAGTTCCCATCCCCTGAGAGATGCTACGAACCTGCAGGGTTTCACATTTCACACACACACACACATCTCCATCATTTTTCCTGCGAACTCGTGCAGGCAAGCCACATGTTGGTTTCGCACCTGCCAGGTCGTAGCCTGTGCCTATGGTTGAAGCTCAAGAGATCCTGGGCCGATTAGAGAGTCCAACTGAGTATCTATCCACGCCCGGGCCCACACAGACGGCATCAGACGGCGCACGCGGTGTGCAGTTGCCGCCCAGACGAGGGGCCCTCAAGACCTTCCAGGAAACACCTTTAAGGGAGCAGCCCAGAGAGCAAGTCGGCTGTCGGGGCATTGTGCGCAAGAGAAATTGTTGAAAACCATAATAAAACATGGTAGAAAAATTGATAGAATACCCATGGTTGTCGCTGGTTGGATGTTGTTTCCTCATGGTAAGTGCAATGAGCGAATCAGGAAGGATATGTCTGTAGCGCTCGTCAGCCAGATGACATGATAAAAACAAGTGGTTGTTTTGACCAAGGAGTTGGCTTAAGGGGAGATGCCATTACTTGCGTTTTGGCCGCATTGGGCTTTGCAGGCCGACTGTCCTATGGATTTTGAAGAGCAAGGGGACGCGTCCAAACTTTGCATCGATGTGTCAAGACAATCGGCCCTCAGACCGTAAAAATATCGATTGAGGATGGGGAGTTAACACCCCAAACCCAAACTTGTGGGATGTGGCTGTGTGCGACAAACCCTTGTCAAGCGTAACGCGGGGGCTCGCAGAGACAACCTTCTTTGATGCCCTAAGACACCCACCACCCAGGTCGCTGGAGACTCGCTCGCTGCAAAGAAACATCAAGAACACCCAGGTTGCCCGAGACTCCTCGCAGAAAATCACGGATCATCTGAACTCCTTGTTGTTCTTCAGAACCGGTACCCGACCGGTGGACCGGGTGAACCCCGGCGGTTCCACCCGAGGCAGCAGCGCCATCAGCTCGGTCGACACCGCGTCTTGGCCCAAAGCCTTGGGCCTTTTCGGCACCTGGGCAACAAGCGATCCAGTGGAAGGCGGACCAGCGAAAACCGGTGGTGGTCGACCGGAAATAGTTGGACTGGAGGATCTGAGTGAAGCTGTTCTTAGTCTGGTGATGGATGTATATGGAAATTCGACAGATCCCCTTGTGTCACCAGCTTTGTAATTTGGAATCTGGAATGTTGACATTGGTTTGGTGGTTGAGTGCACCTAGGAGGTTGGGATGCTCGGACTCCAGGTGTGCTCCGAACAGTTCTTGGATTGTTGGAAAACAGTTCTTGCTGACTTGATGTTGTTCAGAACTTGTCCGCCATCAATTAATACTGCCAATACCACGTGGACCACGACCACGCGTACTTTTCGTGACCAATTGTAATAAAATATAGTGTAAATATATATATATATAGTTCTGTGGTGAAGTGCAACTGCAACAAGCTTTCCAGCTTGCAGCTAAAGTTTCTGTTGGAGAGGATCCAGCATTGCAAGAACTGATTGATCTTAGACTGGCGGTTGGCTTCCCATGCTTTCCTACTTGGGCTCGGGCTCCGAACTTTTCACTGTGTTGCTGCCCCCAGCTAGCAATGTCCCTTCCAGGGTGTTGCTGGATTGAGAATTGTTTTGTGCAGACTCCTTTCTCGAGCTCATTTGACCAAAGGTGAGATGCCGCTGTTGAGCATCGAGGTCAGCCACTTGACCCGAAGCTCCTGGGCTCAATAGCCATGGGCAGGTGGTCAATGGTTCCAACCCTCGCTACTGGTGCTTACTTAGTGCTTCATACTAATATACAGGGGTATCAGGGGTGTATATAGCATCAGGGCAAATGGCACTCAATACAACGTTATACTAATTGTTTTGTCGTATTGATCCTCCTAATGAGGCCCTATCACACATACAATATTAAATAATCTGCAAGTCATGAGTCGAGATTAATGCTGCATGATCAGTTCATGCGGATTGACGTTGTTTCAGGTGCTACTGCCATAGCATAGCATAATTTTTTAGCGATGTGTTAACTGCATTGAGACGATCAGACATCTGTGTTTTTGCCAAATGTCTAGGATTTGGATGACTTGGCTCGAGCTGACCAGTAAAAAGCTTGTAGGCGCAATTGGCCACAGGCAGGTGCCAAGAAAACGCCATGCTTCCAGCCTTGTTCATTGCCATGGTGTACGGCGCATTGGCCCAAGACACTCGTCAGACGACGCGCAGTTTTGCCACCTTCACAACAGTGAGCACAAGGGAGACTATTGGGTAGTGGTAGATTGATGTGTTTGCGCGGTCGTAGAAAACGGATGTAAAAAAGAACAAAAATAACTTCAGCCTCAACTTGTTCCTACGACAAGAGAGAGAGAGAGAGGGAGAGGGAGAGGGAGAGGGAGAGGGAGAGGAGAGGGAAGGGAAGGGAAGGGAAGAGAAGAGAAGAGAAGAGAAGAGACATAGAGTAAACCGTGATAAACCGTGTACATGACAATTTCTATGCATTCTTGTGGCATCTCAAGACCTGTTAAGGCTGCTCCTGTTTTTGGTCGTTGTGCACGCTTCGCACTCGAAGAGTGCTTCAGGATGCTCCATCCCACGCGGGCTGCTTCGTGAAAAATGGCACGACAATGCTGGCAGTGAAGCTCACTTATGATGGCAACCTTTTCGACATCCCAGGTGGGAGCCTGGAAGTCTGGAAGGGCATGGCTGCCACGTTTGCTTTGGGTGGTCCTACCCACCCGGGACTCAGAAGACCTGACGGAAGCGTGAAGCGTGTGTAAGATTCTAGTAAGTGCAACATATACTTAACATGTATATCGTTCTTTATTATGTCAAACAAATCGAGCATTGACTTCATGCTTGGTTTAATGTCGCCCTCCCAAACCAATTCCTAACCCACGAGGCGGTCGCACCGATGGCCACGAGCCAGCGACCCGGACGGCGGAGCGCGAGACCTTTGAGGAGTCGGGCTACCAGGTGCCGTCTGAGGGGACTGGACTGAAAAGAGGCGAAGCGGTCTGAGGTTGTGGGAGCTACATCAAGGGAAGATAGTGACCATTGGGACCTCGCTATTTTGGGCTTGAGAGTGTTCCTTTCTTGATTTTGGGACATCGCAGTGGACATGTGATGGTTGTTGGACATGGAATGGTCGGCAGCCTTGGTGAATAGCACAGCCAGCCTGAAATAGCACGCCACACGTTCAGGTCTCGATCGGCGAGCTTTTGGCCACCGTCCGCGGGGGCTTCAGAATCTACAACTGCTACCTGCAGGGGTCCAGCCCCAGGAGGGCCCCGGGGTGTCACGGGCAGGGTGTTTGAAGGTATGCTGTTTGAAGGGACGAGACAGATTGGGGGTTTTGAGGAGGTGGTTGAGGGCCGAACGGGGTTCAAATACCCCACGGTTCAATCGTGTTCAATCTCCCCGGTGGCAACCATCTGTCGTTTTTGAACTCAGCGAGCCTGTTACCCTTACAATCGGCTTTTCAATGCTTTTCAGTTCATATTGTTTTGCTAATGATAGGTTGAACTGATCGAACACTGTGGAAATTGGACTGAATTGCTTGGCAATATATGGGCTTGTCTTTTTTTAAGGTGTCCAGTTTATGTAGGGCTGGGATGTTCGACTTAGGCGAAGCATACCCCGAAGCATACCCCCGAAGCATACCCTGAAGCATACCCTCTGGAAATGCTACTACTTTAGTCTTCACACTGCGCGAAGCATACCCCGAAGCATACCCCCGAAGCATACCTCCGAAGCATACCCCATAGTCAAACATCCCGACCCGGGAACCTTAAAAAAAATACAAACCCATATACATCCGCGTGTATGTGGTAGAGTGTATTGTATGGGAACTATGCTGGGTACCGTGCCCCCACCCGACACAACGGTCAACGAGAGTCATACTCCATGACTCCATGGGGACTCCATGGGATAGCATATGTCAGATGTAACTTGTAACCAGCAACCGGCCTCCTGGTAGAAAAGCATAATTGTTAATGTTGCCTATCAATTAAGTGGCTTTCGCTAGGATCTCAAGAGAACAACTTTTGTGCTTGGCCATGATGATCATGATGCTTTTGGTCCATCAGGATGGAGGGTAGTTTGTCGTGTTTGGCCATCCTTCCTGCTCAGTTTGGTACCGCAGATTCTCACCGTCAATCCCCGCAAATAGCTGCGAAACTACAGGAAGGGTCCTGACCATGAAGTGTCAATGGTGAAGTGGATGGACGTTGGAGAAATTGAAGGCAGGGCGGCTGTGATTGGGAACTGCCTGCTGAGTTGAGAGAACCTCATGCAGCAAGCAAAGGGGCTTGGAGTGCACAACCCGCAACTCGATGGCTGCGGGTTGGTGAAACCACCATCCATTGCGGCATTATGCGGCATTTGTGCCCTCGGTTTTCGGTGCGGTACCTTGTCAGGACTTAATCAGGTGGTTGAAGGATTGAGCAATGTTCCTCCACCGATGTTCCTCCACCTTGTGCCGCTGTTCTTTGACACGTTCCAGGGCCTTCAGAGACGTTTCGGTGCGGTTCAGCTCAGCTAAATAACTTTTTTTCTGCGGAGTGTTGATAGGGGATGGGTGGAGAAGTAGTTGTACAGCCAGTGGAACTGGCGATATGAATCCAAATCGATCTGCATTATAGGTGTTTTGGACCATTGGACCTTCAAGCCTCGAAACAAGCTTCGGCCGCCACAAATCAAGGAGCCAATCCCCCCGGGGACCAACTACCCAGGGCTCGCCGTGAACTCGGTGACCGTTGGCAGGACACCTTCAGCACCATGAGTGGCGATTCCAAGAGGACCAAGCAGTCCTTTACTTGGATTGGCTTGTGGGTGAGCACAATCACAACCGCAGGCTTAGCATCCATGTTTGAGGCTGCTTTGCAGTGGATGTTCATACAGGATGGCACCGTTGGAGTGGATGTTTGTGAAGGGTTTGAGCACCCTAATCCCCAATACACGTTGCATTTTTTTGGAGAAGGCAAGTGGCAAGATTTGAGAGAGCCTGCCAGTTAGGCATCTCACTAATCTTACAGACCTCTCCTCGCCTTTGTCTTCCAAAGAAGGGAGACACAAGGCCATTTTGAGCTAGATACAACATCTAGCTGGCAATTCAATTTTTGGTCCTCACTGCGTTCACTGCAGACAGAGGCACGAACTGTTGCAGGTTGTACCACCACGATTCGTGGCATGTGATGTCATGCCAGAAGCAATCCAGGCGAGTGAATGTGAGAAGAAAACGGTCACGCTGCAGGTATCACGATCGGTATTCCTGAAGATTTGCTCGCTTGACATGAGTGTTCCAGGCAATACGTGAGTTGCTTTGATTGCTTCAGTACTTGAAAGCCATGGCCGGCCTCTGTGCTGCACACTGCACACTTCGCAAATTAGCCACGGAATACCGCACTTGGAGCAGAAGACATCTATCTCAACAGTTTGCAAAGTGTGCAGTGTGCAGCACAAACGGCATGCAATACACCCAAAACTACGCAAGTAGACACACACAGAGAGAGAGAGAGAGAGAGAGAGCATCGGTCAGATACCTGTTGCGGAAGGCATGACCCCAAACTGTGTCATGTGTTTGAGTCACGTGATTCACATCCCACCATGCTGTCAAGACTGCCTTCTTTATGATGGTTGGATGAGATTTCACTGAGGTTCATTGATGACTTCCTTGTGTGACAGCGCACGTCGATGGCAGCATGTCCTCTACCTGTTGGAAGGTGCGAGTGAGGAGGAATCGGTGACACTCGGCCATACTTGGGGTGGCTTGTGGATGTGAGGGCGTCAGAGCGAGAACGGACCGGAGCATTTTTCAGTGTTCAGACATCCATTGGTGCATGTATTATACACATTCATTGGTGCGTTGGGAGGCAGGATATTCAGGTGAAGACTGGTCAAAACCCAAGACTAGACCCAGTGGAGCATCGGCCCTTTTGGGCGAAGCTGAGGGCCGATGCGCTAAGCTATTGTACAGCCATTGATGCTCTAGATCCTGCCAAGCAGTTGCTCTTGGCACCTTGGAGATCATGGAGGAAGGGAACCCTGGACGATCTTTGGAGGAACACTGTTGCAGCTGTTAGATGCTGTTAGCTGCTGACTTACTGGGCTGGTACCCTAAGTCATGTTAGGCGGCTGGCTGCTGGTTCTTCGGTCGGTGAGTTTTGCCTTTCGGTACAAAATTGGGAGACACCTTGGGACGGGTTGGGATCTACACCAGCTGCGCCCCAAGTTGGCCCCAGTGCACTTACAGCTGGAATTCCTGTGGTGGGTAGGATTTGAACGAGGCACAGTGCATGCCCTCCTCCTTAGAACCCTTGGGGGGGTTGTTCCTTCATCCCAAAGACTGTGAAGAAGGCTTGCCAATTTCTAGCAGTCCATCGCTTCTAGCTTGGAGGCCATCGCCACCAGGGTGGAGGCCATCGCTTCTAGGTTGGAGGCCATCGTTACTAGGGTGGAGGCCATCACTATTGGGTTGGAGGCCAGAGCAGTCACTCAGTGCGCTGTCCTCCACCTTGATGCGCCGCCTGACCGACCGCCCCACCTGCTTTGTACCCTTCGCGGCCAGGTCACCCGGCTTTGCGCCGAGCTGCAGACGAAAGCGCTGCAACCCTTGATGGGTCAAACATAGTCGTGGCTGCTGTCGCGAGACACGACTTGACACGGCACGAGGAATTGGTGAGCGGGATTGCCAGTGATTGTACAATACAGTGGTGTATGCATGTGTATGCCATATACGAGCTGGTGGTAGCTGGATTGATTGGATTTGGAGTTGGTTGGTGCAGAATCCTGTATGTGACCTGGACAGTGAACAGCCTGTGGACGATCTGCAACTGATTCCTTCACATCCCCCTCATCCCCCCCAAGGACGCTACTATAGTAGCTCCTGGCATTACTACTAGTAACAAGAAGCGAACCGAACATAACAAAGGGCATCGCGGACCGAACGGAGCGTTCGGACGCGAACCGAACGTAGCTCCTTGGTCCATGGCCGATCGCATGGCACCGCGGTGGCTGGACCCTCGCTGGCATGGCGCCACCTGGTCGGTCTGCGGCCTGTGCTAGGCAGGGCCGCATGCAGCGGCTCAACGGCTGGAGATGTGGCATCCGATGTTTCAATGATTGGCGTATTGGATTTAATTACTGTACTTGATATTACTTGAATGCTGTACACGTAGGGCAGGGGTTCTCAAACTTCCTTAATTGCACTGTCGACACTTTGAGGTTCGGTTTTTGGTAGATTTAAGCTATTCGGGCTTCTTTAATGGGACAGTTACAACCGTTCTAATCCTTTTCGCAGATCCTCAAACACTGGACATGTTTGCTTTGAACTAACAACTGGTTTTAAGATAGTTCCAGGGTCCGGGGTCTAATGAGCAGGGCATTTGCTATTTCCCACCTCGGTATAGCTCGGTGCCGCTTGATCCCTTCACTTTAGGTCCATCCGTTAGATAAACGGCGCGGTCCAAAAGGACCGATGTAGGACCGGTCCCATCGGTTCACTCATCCAACCGTTGAGGAAACGCGCCACTTGCAGGCCATGTGCGTAGCCAATGAGACCTCGCAGTTGAAGAATCTCTGCAAAAAGATTGGTGCTTGCCGTCAGGGCCACTTGGATCTCCTTTGTGCCTATTTGTTAAGTTTGCTTAGCTTACATCTTGTATACATACATAAACGATAATATGTTCGAGGCTGGATGTGTGAAATTTTAGTCAAGTTGTTCATGGATGAGGCTTTGACTGCTTGTCACTGTAGGCTTGCAAGGGGCCTTATTATGTCCTGCACATGTTCTGCAAAATGACTCAGCAAGTTCCTTTGTGAAGTAAACATTGAGTCATGCCAGATTGTTATGTTCCTTTCTTTTTGTGGGTCAAGCACCATAGATTTGCTCTGCAGAAAGTCACGGTGTTCAGTCCTCAACCTCCCAACCGAAGCGATACCGACAGCCGTTCCTTCCGCAACTTTGAGGAGAAGACTGGAGGACACCGCGCCGCGGACTCGGCGCTCCGCCGCTGTGCTGAGACCCCTTTTGTGTTTGGTCCACCACCGTCGAGTGTGGGTCCTACCCTGGCTATGGCATTGCTAGCTATGGACAAACTTCGGAGATGGCCCAGTCCGGAAAGGGTCAATCCTCCTTGAATCCAACAACATGCATGTTGCTAAATCTGGAGCATGGGGCCCGACCAGGACGGCGCTGTGGCTTTTGGCGTCTCTTCGTGGCCTGTCACTGCGCCGCTCTCTTAGTCCGAGCAGTCGGAGGGTGGAAAGTCACATAGTGACATAGTGCCACAATTGTACAATCAATCATGGCAAAAGAGGATTCTTGGGTGCGAAACAATATAATATAGTTTAATGTAACTTAATATTATGCTTCCAACGTTATATAATATATACAAATATATACAATTTTTTCAGGGGCATGCTGCGAGGCAGGACCAGTGAACTGTAAGCACTTCTCCTCTATAGGAGGCACTCGCAGGGGCCCTAGGCCTTCTAAAACATGCTTGGGATCAAAGGAAATTGACGGATTAAAGTGCATATTTTGGTTTCGGGTTTTTGACAGCGCCAAGCGGCGCCGTGGTGACCACGATGCGCGTTTTGCGCAGGTGCAAATGCAATCCTTCAGAACGCTGCAATTAACGTGCCTTGCCCTGGAACGGGCAGTTGGAGGAGGCGACACGGTTCAAAGTGACCAACATGCAGTTCGAGGTGCTTATGCATATGCAAAGAAAGTCGACTGGGTGCCAAAATGAGGATTTTGCAAAACTCTGCTAGAGCATGCTAAAGCAAACTTCCTGGGATTCTTTCAAGGGGGGGTAGGCCGCAGAGGTAGTAGCTAGGTAGCTAGTAGAAAAGGTAGCTAGTAGCTACTAGTATGGAGGCAGGATAGCTCACGCTTCTTACAGGAAGCCCCCCCCCGCCACCCCAAAGGCGGCGGAGAAGATTCCTTGAAGAAGCGCTTGCTCTAATGATTTGGTTCCTAGATTTTTAGGGAAACTTAAGCCTTAGTTCATGTTTGGGGGGGTGCTGCAGGGTTTTCATGGTTTTACTGCTGCATGGTTTAATCGAAGACACATGCCCAAAACACCGAAACGCTTGTTTTCAGTACGATGTGGTGAAGCCGGGTCGTTTTATATGTTGTGCTTTGCTTTGGGGGCAGCCCAAGGCTGCGGGGTGAAATGAGACACACCAAGCGTCGGACTTGAGGCTTGTGGGAAGTGCCTTCACTGGCAGAGGGCAGCATGGCTCCTGTCAGATGCGCAACTGGGACCTGGCTGTCGGAACGCGATGCAATTCCTCGCTTTTTGCTCGCTCCCGGATTCGCGCGGCACATGGTTCGGCCCACCAGCGCTCGACCGCGTTCCAGCGTTCCCCTCCAAGGCAGTGTCAGGCGTTGCAATGCGATGTCATTTCCTACAACACCATTGCCGCTGGTCCGAATGTATTTGAGCCGGAGGGTGTTTGTATTGGAGCCTGCGGTGCCTGCAGGTTGGAAGGTTATACAGGAAAGTGATAGCCGCGCGAAAGATAAGAGCCCGCCAAGTGGGATTGGGAAAGCCAGCAAGAGGTTCAACTGGCTTTGGAATGTAGAAGATTTCGCATTACTGTACTTATATATATATAAGTATATATATATATGTATATATATATTATATATATATATAAAACCTACAATGCATCATTTATTGGTTGTTACTGCTAAAGCTGTGGTTTCCTTGTAGATTGATGTGCATGACTTGACCTCAGTGAACCCAATCCCTGATTTTTGTCCTTTAACCCTCAGTGGTGATGCTAGAGCAGCATGCCATGTGATGCAGGTTTGCCTTTCATGATATTTGCCCTTTACTTCTGTGCAGAAGCGTCAGCAGAACCCCATGGACATGTACTGTACAAGAACTTACTTTGGGACACCATGTCACTAGAGCTTCTTTTAATGTCTTCCAACATACTTCTCTCCCAATCACCAGACATCCCCCTGAGGTTCCATTGGTGGTTTGGCCCTTGGCCTTAGCACTCCTGCACGTCGCGAACCCGGTAAAACTGGATGTAGTGACCTTCAACTCCTTTCATGGCTCTAGCTGGCAGAGGGCAGCTCAGATGTGCCAGGCTGGATGACACCCATGAGTTGAACGGACTCAGAGGCAACCAGGCTCAACCAGGCCCTTCGGCCCTGACTGTTTGAAAGGAAGAGATTGTTTAGAAAGGACACTGTGGTTTTTCCTTTTGAACAACCTGAATTCTGCAAGAGTTCTCCAATACTGTGTCGTAGGCACTGTTTATTCAGTTCATTCTCCAAGAGTGGATCTTCCTGGCTTTCCCTTTGTGGGTCACAGCCCCTGGCAGGAGATGTGCCAACGGTCATTGCAGGCAGATCTCCTATCCTACAACTCAGCCATTCGCCACTGGGCAGTTGTATCATGGCCGTCCAGGGTTTTCATGACGCAAGCCACGTTTCCCATGGCCACCGCTGCAGTCGCAGCTCTCGCCCGCACCCCTCCTGTTCAGGCCCATAAAATGAAGATGAGGCCCTCCTCCAAGAATGAAAGAAAGATTGACAAAACAAATCAAAATAAGAAACCTAGACTATAGGTATATAAAAGAGAAACAATATATAATTATTGGAACATATATTTATGTTCTTTTGACAACATATTACTTTATTAGCATATTTTGTTCTAGGTTTTTTGTTTTCTTTTCCCTGAATTTTTGGAGAGACCTCGGCTGCATGTCCATGAGGCGACCTCACTTCCCGCTGGAGCATGGCACTGGGCTTGGTGGCCCGGTCCGCTGAAGAGACGCTGCAAGCGGATGTGGCTTGGTACTGTGAGGGCGGACCAGTTCTTCTTTTGTTTTGGGGGAGGAGCACATCAATGGGCTGACCAGGTATTTTGGGTGGACAATCACAGTACCAATGGAGGACTTTTGACCTACAATTTGTCAATGAACACGTCATAAGTGGACCAATCGAGCTGAGCGACTTAGGCGAAAAGGCAACTTTTTGCCAAGTCTTTTCGCGCTTGTTGCTTGACATGTGCGGCAGGCACGTTGCTTGCTAGTGCGGGTGATGCAAATTCGAGTACCACAAGACATGCTGTGACATGCTGCCTTTCTGGTTCAGCATGTTCTTCACACCTTTGAGTAAGACAAACACGTGTTCTACACTAAGGTGGTCACTTGCACCTCGTGCCTCTCTATGTGCAGCCTGATTGCTTGGAGTTTCAACTTCCTTTTGTGTTCTGGTTGGAGTTGCTAGACCCTTGACTGGTGAGGGGACTTGACCCGTCCTGTGATGGATTGGTAGACCCTTACTTAGCAGTCGACTGGGGTTTGCTCGTAGACCACTGGCATTAAAGGTTAAACTGTTCAAGCCCAAGCAGGGGATCCAACGATCTTCTTCAAGCCACAGGTTCCACTGCATGCCCATTGCTCACATTGGTGGCTCACTGACCTTGCATGTCGGATGGGCTGAACCTGCCGGGTTGAGTTGGTTTTAGCAGGGCGGGGTGATTAAATCATGGTAGAACAATGTAAGGAACATTCACTGGATCTAGATGAATAGTTTACATTATTTTACGATGTTTTTGCCAGTTCCACACTTGACATGGTGACGGTCCAAAACCTGACCTCGCCTCAATTGCAGGTGCCATTCGCAGTAGATCAAGCCTTGATCAGGGTCGAGGGCACCAGATCACCATGTTGATGTGCTATCCGATCCCAGCTCTTTAACCACCCGCTAGACAGGGGCCTGATGCGGCCGGCTTTTTTTCGAGGCCATCTTTGGTGGGAGCGGAGCTTTGCGATGCTCCACAGCTGGAGCTCCAGCAACTTGGACCATCACACGGTGCACGAGCGAACCCCAGTCGGGCCAGTCAGCGATGCGAACAACAAGAACCTCAGGTGATGAACGACGAGTGACAGGGGAAAGATGAGAATCCCAAGCGCCGGAGGGAAAGCCATTCTTCCTCGGAAGCGTTGGATGGAGTGGTTCGGACAAATGTAGTGGGTAGCGCTTAGCAGTGGTTCCAATATCCCTGCAGATGCTGAACAGGGTGGCTCTGCCATTTGAGTGACCGCAACATGCCGCAACTGGTTCGGGACTCTTTGGATCCCGCCGGTTGAAGGGCTTTGGAACGATGCCCTACCACAAACTACAGTTTGGATGTCCTTCACCAAAGATGTTGTTTGAAGGGGCTCATGAATGTCAAATACAAAAAGCGAGGGTCGGCAAGAATGTACACTTTCCTCATACCAATATATGGAAGCTGCCAGGATATACTGCTGAGAAGATGATGTATTTGGATTCGGGCTGATTTGTTAGTTTCTATGTAGTTTCCTTCTTTGGGGGGGCAGCAAGTGGGGCAGCACTATCTTGAAGATTCTTGAAGCAGGTCCCTACACACGACACTGACGCATCATTCTCTTGGTGTGGACGGATGTGGACGGGGAGGCATCCAAAGAAGCGTTTGTGCTGAGGACATCTCTCAGGAAACTCGAAAACCTACAATGCTCTCATTAGTCGCTTGGCAATTTCTGATGTGTTTTTCACTGCTGGCCTGTTCGCGTTGGTGATTCTCCTGGTGATTCAGCGGCAGATTCCATTAATTCGGTAGGTTTGTGACGGCTCCCTTTGTTTGGTTCTTTTTTAAGCACCTGTTTCTTCGACACCTTTATTTGTTGGTACTTCCTCAAGTCCACTCGGTGAAGGTCCTCCGATACAAACAGGACATGATGCCATGATGCTTATTATGTTTTCTTGAATCATGACGGGTCAAAGCCCGTCACTTGAACTGGAAACGAAAACAACCACAGAAATTCTGATTTTGGAAGATTTGAGTCTGGTCTTTTTTTTGCCGCAGAAAGAAGGAAACGAGCGTTGTTCGCTCTTGATTTTGTGTTCCTACCTGATGTTGGCATTTTCCCTGCAGAGCCAGGGATTCCTTTACAATACTGCGAATGATTCCATGATATAGACTCCGAGGGCAAACATCATACATACACCTGTCAGGTCGCCGCTAAACCGTAGATACTATTTGGATCTATGTGGTGTTCAACGGTGTTCGTGTTCCTTGCTGACTTGCAACGTTGAGCGGTCATTGGAACAGCAACTCATCTTTTGGGTGTTTGATCTAGCGGCCACGGATGAAATACGTTCCTTTGGCTGTCGCAAATGGAAAAAATTGTGCTTGATCCTGTTGGAATGTTGTTTTTCTTCACCATGTGCTCCTCAGGTCGAGTCACAAGCAGCAACTGGCTACAAGCACTGGTGGTCTTCAGCGACCTTTTCAGCGGCAGGCCGTCGCGTCGCCAGTCGGACGTCTGTTGAAGACCGATGGCCTTTTTCAACCGTGCACATAGTAGCTTATAGCTAGGGTCTGTCCTATACCCTGTAACAGTCAGTAAACAATGATCATCATTTTTGAACAAAGCCTTTACTAACCATCATCATCCACTGTTACAGGTCTTAGGATAGACTCAACACATAGCCCCCTTGGTATGGTCCCCGTTGAACCCTACACGGTGAACTCAAGGCGAGGTCTCGGTGGTTGGGCAGTTCTGGCAAGATCTCTCTCCAAAGATTCGTAGTTATATACAATGAACACCCTAGACTTCCAAGACCATTAAAACAATGGGAACGACCTGGTTTTTGTAGTGTAAAATCCTTAGTCGATTTGGTATTCAGCCTATTAAATTAATGGTGGTTGGAAGCCTAGGGAAGACATATATTGTATAACAGCTGCGCCTCTATCAATGTCATTGATTTGAAGTTTAGAGGATCAATGAGGATTCAGCTTAGCTGATGGTGCCGATGGTGAGAGCCCTGACGAAAAGTCGGAGGCTGGTTAGAGCCGATGTCATCAGCCACAACGCAGTCATCACTGGAAGCACCTGGTCCGTCGCTTTGCAGCTTGGGACTGTTTCAGTGTGCTTTGGAACGGGCTCAAGCGGGTGTCCCAGTACCCCAAAATGCCCGAAGTGGATCGAAGTGGATGACCCATGAGACCACTGAATGCCTCTCGACGAGTGAGTGTGGATGAAAGTGTATGAAGCTTAGCTAGCTGCATGAAGATGGAATTGCCATGGACGGACTCCCTTTTGTATGGAGTTTAGCTGAGCTACTGGGTTTGACCCACAACCATGTGCCATACTGTATTCCTCCTCTCACGCAACTTCAACCACTAGCCCTTCAGATTTGTTAAGTTTGTGAGTTGGAGGTTAGTGCCAAAAAAATATTTAATTGATTATTTTCTTTTATGATTTTGTTATGATTTTGTTATGATTTTGATACACTGTGGGTTATGGTTTTTTTATGGTTTTTTTTATGCGTGTTAAGGAGCCCTTGAATTTGATATGAAAATGTTTATGATTTTCTTATGGTTTTAAACTGCCACCAAAAAAATATTATGAAAAAGATATGGTTTGAGAGTGTTTTTTGAGTACTTCTAAAAGATCGCCATATAGTTGTGAAAATATGGTGCGAATATGTTTGCATACTTGAAAAATAGTGGTTTGGTTAAGAAACTAAGTAAGTAAGCTTCACCAGCGAAGGGAAGTTGTTGAACATTCCAAGGAGGCACCCCAATGCTCATGCCCAAGCAACGTAGGGACGCTTGGCGTCCTTTCTGTTGATTAGCTTATTAGTAGCTATTGAGCTATTGCCTTACAAATCCTTCTGCCTAGGACCCGAAGGAAAGGTGTGTAGTAGAGAGAGAGAACTGTAGGGCATGTACGGTAGGGCCTAGGCCTAGCTAGGGAAGTGTATCGGGCGAACAGCAACAACAACAACAACAACAAACAGTGCCGTGTTCATAAAGACTTGTGACGCAAGGAACAAACACCACGTCACAGTCTTTATTTCAGATATATACACACACACACACCAACCTTTCGTTTGCTTCTTTCGCATCTTGCCCTTATTCAGCCTTGCCTTGCCTGTCTGTATGCGTCTCTCTCTGTGTTGGTTTTCCCATTGCAGCTACTCTGTCTCTCCCGCTCTCTTTCTTGTCACTGTCATTCATTCGCTTTCCCCAAACATTTTTACCTGTGAGGGGTTCTTACTTCCTTGAAAGGGGTGCACGACCGGGCCGCATGACTTTACATATGTCTCCAGGCTTGCGTTCCTGCCACACTGTGGTTGCTGTCTCCAGTCCCTTGTGGGCGCCCTGGCCGCATGATTTTTCACTTGTCTATCGAGTCTATCACTTGTCTCCCACTGTCTCCACTCGCTAGTGTGGGCGCTTTGGCCACATGATTTTACACTTGTCTTCCTTTTGTCTCCCACTTGTGCCCACTCCGGTCCCACTGTCTCCAGTCCCTTGTGGGCGCTCTGGCTGCATGATTTTACACTTGTCACCCATTTTTCTCCCACTGTCTCCAGTCTTTTGCGGGCGCTCTGACTGCATGATTTTACGTGTTTCCCATGTGTCTCCCGCTGTCTCCAGTTCGCTGTAGGTGCTTTGGCCGTATGATTTTACACTTGTCTCCAGTCTCCTCTAGGCATTTGTCTCCCAATTCGGCTGCTGCTTCGTCTGCCTACCAGGTGACACTTGTCTCCCTGCTTGTCTCCTTGCTTGGATACTCTTGGCTGGCCACTTGTTTCAGCCTGCTCTGGATACACTTGGCCGGATGTTTTAAACCTTTGTTTCCACTTGCCCTCTAGGCCGTCTTAGATATTCTTGGCCGGATGACTTTGTTTTTTATACTTGCCTCCCTGTTTATCTCCCTTCTTGTTACACTTATCTCCCGCTTGTCTCGGCCTACTCCAGATACACTTGGCCAGATGTTTTTGCGCTTCACTTGTCTTTTTGCTTGTTTCCCTACTGGGATACTCTCAGCCGGATGATGTTACACTTGTCTCCCTCCTTGTTACCCTTCTCTCCACTTGTCTCGGCCTACTCTGGATACGCTTGGTCTTTGCTAGACACACTTGGCAACATTATTCTATATACACTTGCCTTGTCTCCCTTCTAGTTACACTTGTCTCTGCTTGCGCTTGCCTCAGACTACTCTAGGCTCGAGATGCACTTGGCCGGAGTTGTCTCTTGCTTGTCTGCTTGTCTCCTCATTACATACTCTTGGCCTTGGCCGGATTTTCACATTTAACCCAACACAGCCGAATAATGCCGCATGTCAGTACACCCAGCGTCGTAACCCGAGCTGCTAGCTTCAACCCCGACCCGGGCAGACCTGCCTGTCTTTGGGACACTCTGAGTCTGAAGCGCTGAAGGGATTGCCAAATCCATCGACTTGTTCTACGATGCACACTCGAGGCTCATACTTTGTCAGGAACGCCACGGCGTCGGCAAAGGTCGTGCTGTAGTCCGAGTGTCCCTTCACACTCCCGTCGCAAAACCGTTTGGGTCTTGCTCTGCTAAAGGGAGGGCAAGGCGTGCCCAGACATGCCAAGTCTGGACTGCCTTGACTGCCGCACTCACTGCTGCACTCACATGTCTCTCCATAGGGGTGCAGGAGGCATGGAGCATCCTGCGTCTGGTCAGCAATAGTTGCATGTAGATGACTTGGCTGAAAATTCAAGCGAAGGAATTCTTGGAAATCTGCATTCTTCTCTGCCATCCCAACACACGTAAAAGGAATGCCGAGCTCCTGATAAAGAGCGGCTGGAACCACGAACCAAAGATTGATATTTGCGATCTAGAATCTACAATCGAGATTAAGGTACTACTACAGTCTGTCAGTCTAACAGTCGACTAAGACTGTGACCAGGCTAGAAAGACTTTGATCAACAAGGAAATGTGCTAGGGCTAGCTCACCTGGACCCGAAGCAAGTGCTATTATAGTGACTCGCGACTAGTGACCACACAAACACTAGATCTTTCACTATCACCATCACAACCAGGCGGGGGTCAATCTCTAGACTCTAGACTCTAGACGCTCTGGACCCTAGTCTCTCTAGACTCTAGACTCCAACATCACTATCACTATCACTATCAGTCACCGCGCTACATACATACACCATTCAGTTGCACAAGCCCCGCCACTGATTGCTCAGTTGAATTGGGCTGCTGAACATGCAAAGAGCACTTGCCGCGCCACCCTACCTACAATCCTCACAAAAACACAAACAGACTTAGAAAACCTGTCCTCGAACACAAAGCCTTCAGCGAAGGATCCAGTGCAAGAGCTCAAACACTTGACAGGTGAACTCAATGTGGGAATCACCATCCCCAACGTCCTTGAATGCTTGAGAAGCTGCTCTGCCCACCAAACTGGTTTCCTTTCATCGCTGGAGCCGGTGGAATCGGCAAGTAGTTCCCAGGATTCACTGTCAGAGCCCGGCGACAAGGGCATCTCGAAGCTGTGCGACATGGGTGGCTGTTCTGCCCAAGTCACTAGTCACTAGTAACTAGCAACTAGTATCACAACACACTGTATTGAACTGTGAAATAGTAACATAGTAGTCATTGAACATCAAAGCGGCTTTGCGCCCACCTCATTGGTTTCCTACCAGCCTTGATCGTCTTGTCTTAGCTTGCTGCGTTTCTTGACAGGAACAGCTGGTCCTCATTGCGAGCCACCTTGTTGTATCACAGAGCAACGGTCAGCTCCAGCAAATCAAAAAAGTAACAAAGCAACATCTCAGCGCCCACGAAGACGAAGACTGATTTGCAAAACGCTGTCAGTCTCCGCACCCTATTGCAATATACCATACCCCATCGGCCACCATCGCAAAAGCACAACTTTCATCACACGCGACTGTGGCTGGACAGTTTCAAAAACGTGGTTGCTTGACAACGACTGTGACTATCAAGATCACTATGCTAGGTCCAGGTCTGGAGTCTGGAGTCCACAGTCGAAAGTCTAGAGTTGACCGTGTTGTTGATTGATACGCACCAGAGTAATTTTTTCTAGCCTAGTTACTAGTTACTATTGCTAGTTAATTAAGTTGAAACAGTGTTGAAACAGTGTTGCGGTCCACCAGTTAGCGGTTAGCTAACCAACTTACCTAGCAGCTAGCAAATACTATAGCCACACGCAAAACTCACAAGATAACAGAAACTACAGCGCAACTAACGAGGCCTAGGCAGCTAGGCCAGGCTCGGTGCATCACAAAAGGGGTTCACCCCCACCCGGTGAACAAGTCCAGTTGTCCACTACTACAACAACAACAAAGCGAATTCAAGTGCAAAGTATAGCTGTGTGGACAGTTTATTAATAGTGATAGCTGATAGCCGCACGCCTATAGCACAGGGCCTTAGTGTCTAAACTGCCTGGGGCAATACCATGGCCGTGCCATGTCATGTTCTAGCCGCAGCCTAAAGTTGATGTGCCAGGAACAGGGGGCCATGTCGCGAGAGCGAGGGAGATGCTGGGAAACCCAAGACAAGTGGCAAAACCACGGATTACAATGTTGTGAGCGCGAGCAATGTTAAAACCGATAGCGATGTTGCGACAGGCTAGCAGCTAGCGGCGGAGACTGAAGAAGGTGACGCTGTTCTGAATCCAGGGCAATGTCATGAAACAACGAGAACGGCCGAAGAAAATGTATAGGGAAGGACAATGTTGCGAACCCGATGACTACTACGACGACGACGATGCTATGAACTTGTGGAAATAGATGACAATGCCTTTGTGTCCCTTGAAAGGGTCAGTTGCGTCGCAAGCACACCCGCAGGGTCCATTCTTGGATGGACACGAAGCAACAAGAAAACACACATAATTGCAAACGCATCATTGGCCTCATTACCCTTAGCACGCGCACTATAGTTAGCGCCTTCGCTTAGCCGCCCGCCTTTGCCGGCCTTGGTTCAAGGCTTGTCCTACTTGTAAATTTTTCTGGTCACGGTATGTTTCTTTTGTCTTTGCAGGCATCACAAAATGGCATATATATAGCTGCAGCCAAGCCTGCCACTTCAAGTCCTTTCGACCGCTTCCAGCTTTGGTGTCAGTTTGCATGAGGTTTGGGAACTCATGTATGAAGGCCAACTCCTCTCTGCCTTCATTAGTGAAGAGGTTCCTTTGGGAACACTAGTCACTAGTCACTGGTTAGTTCTCAAAACCCATCATACAATACAAACTATTCTATTCCTGAGTAGTTTTAAGTTGCATTTTAAACCAACCAGAAAACGGACCAAGAGACTTGCAGAACAACAAAGATTTTTCGCAGTTTATCATGTTTTTCTGAAAAATGTATTTTCTTTCTTTGTAGCAGAGGAAATCTTGTGAAAATACAAAAGTTTGGCTGAACACACATCTCAACTACCATGTTTTGCAACCCAAAAGGCTCTGTATATGTGAAATTGCAGACCTCAAAGAGCATAACGAAACCATAAGCAAATCATATCCAAAAAACAAACCCACCAAAAAGTCATAAAAATTCATAAAGTCAATCGTAACCAAATCATAAGGAAAACGTAACAAAAACATAACAAAATCATAAAAGAAAATAAATTAAAATCATATTTTTGTGGCCTACCTCAAACTCACAATGTTAAGTTACTCCTCACTGAAACGCCAAGCGAACGGGCCCAGATCACTGCAGATTTTACCACCCCAGATCACTTCTCCCTGTTACCACCCACGCCACTTCGATGTTGTAGGGTATGTATGAGTATCTTTGTTTTGTTTCCGTCAGCTACCCGCTACCCTCATGAATCCCACGTGCCCAAGGAGCCTGTTCCAGCGAATGCGGCGAGATGGGACAAGGCCAAGCGCCATTTCGGAGAACACCGTGATCAGCACTTGCCGCGTAGCTGGAACACGAGAGACCCAGCAACGGGCGATGGAATTTCTTGCCTGTGAGGGAGTGTCAATCGAATAAGTCCTCGGGCTTTCTGGCTGGAAGGCGGGAGTTCCACACAAATCCTCTAAAGTTATGGGCGGCTTCAGAAGAGAACACCCAGCTCAAATCAGAACCATACTATGCTGGCTTTGCTTTTTTCCACGTAGCCAAACCTTACACATACTTTTCTTCCCAAGACCTGCTGGTGTGTGTGTGTGTCCACCCCTGGACGAAGGGTTTTCCACCGCCATTTCCTTCACAGTTTTTCCACCAACTTTCCCATGCAGGGGCACTGAGCACTCCTTGGCAAACTCAGTGCAACGAAGCTATGCCTTGGAGTGGGAAGCACGGATTGATCACCCGTGTGTACCTGCAACAATTTGGAACTGTTGAACACGCTGTCCATTTTGCTCTTTTTGTTTCCATGGTTCTTCATGATACCTCCCACAAACCCACCGCCGTTTTGCGCCGCTTTGCAGCCGACTTTGAGTGTCAGATCTTTTTCGAGTGCAACTGCCAACAGTGTTCAACAATACTTTTCAGCGGACTTTGCCACCTTGCGGTTCCATCGCCATCCTTCCCATCGTGGTAATTGAGTCACTGAATACTAAATACAAGTGTCAGAGTGTGTTTCGCTCAGCCGTCCCACTCGGGTGCTGAGTGTGATCCCCGTCACAGGGGCGCCGCTTTTTGCATCGGAGTTCAACAACCCCAACGTACCACTTCCACTGGACCTTCACCGGAAGTCATGGCCACCCCCATAGAATCAACTGATGCCTTGGCCGCCGGGCCCAAAAACGGCATCACTTCAACAGCCGCCGGGCTATAAAACGGTGCTTACCCCCAATGAGGCAGGTTCCCCAGGCCCCCCCCCCGCTGTGTTCTACTCCCTACCTACTTAGGGCAACATAGGGAAATGGTACTCGACACACTTGTGTGTCGGTGCCTTTCCCTGTGTTGTTCCTGCTCTAGTCTATCCTACCCGGGCGGTCTAAGACTAAAGTCCCGCTCCCTAACTAGTGCACCTAATTCACCTCGTCTAAGTATTCAGTAACTTTAGAGTGCTAGGTATTCAAACACACACACACACACATGGACATACACCCCCCCCTGCCCCCCGCTTTCCTTCTTGCGTTTTTCGTCGTTTGTTGGGCTTTCTTTCAGGCTTTTTAGGTTGTTCTTGAGGTTCGTTTCCCTACCCCAGTCAAGGGCTAAGTATTCACCTTTTCATTTTTCTACACCTATCTTTCTTTCTTCCCCTCTTAGCGCTGCTCTTTCTGTCTTTCTTTCCTTTTGTTTCTAAGGCTTTTTAGGTGACTATTTAGGTTCTCCACATGCGCGCCGCGAAGCGGCACCGTATGTGTGCCACCGTTCTTTGCAAAAGCGCCGAAGCCGGCGATTTGTGTGTGTCCACCCCTGGACGAAGGGTTTTCCACCGCCATTTCCTTCACAGTTTTTCCACCAACTTTCCCATGCAGGGGCACTGAGCACTCCTTGGCAAACTCAGTGCAACGAAGCTATGCCTTGGAGTGGGAAGCACGGATTGATCACCCGTGTGTACCTGCAACAATTTGGAACTGTTGAACACGCTGTCCATTTTGCTCTTTTTGTTTCCATGGTTCTTCATGATACCTCCCACAAACCCACCGCCGTTTTGCGCCGCTTTGCAGCCGACTTTGAGTGTCAGATCGTTTTCGAGTGCAACTGCCAACAGTGTTCAACAATACTTTTCAGCGACTTTGCCACCTTCCGGTTCCATCGCCATCCTTCCCATCGTGGTAATTGAGTCACTGAATACAAGTGTCAGAGTGTGTGTGCGCGGGTGCCCCGTGCGTGTGTGCGTGCGCGAGTGTGATCTGAAAATTCAAGACAATGGAAGATGCCAGACACTGTGCGAATCAATGTCTACTGAGTCTACTATATAATTACGTGACGCATCGATGTTCAGTAAGAAGCTGTCGCCTGTGCCTGAGCTTTATCCCAGAATGTCAAACTTGCCAGCTGAGAGGCACTGCGTCGTTGTGCGAAGCCCAACCACACGCCTGGTTGTTGTCGAAACCGGGTGAAAATGAAAGGGTGCTGACCAGCACCGTGGGACGGGGGGAGAACGAAAGGCACGCAACGACTGCCGAGGCGAACGGCAGCAGCTTTGGCATCAGAGTTTAGCTTTTGGCCTGCCGTTGGGGGGGCCTTGGTGGCAAGCCCTCAGCCGATTGAAGCTGCGAAACCTACAGGCGAGAAGGGTGGACCCTCCAGGGTCGCCAAGGTGTTGAGACGGACACCACGAAACTCATCCTGAAGGTTCTATCATTCATGTTCTATCTTGTTTGTTGTTGATTTGATTATGAATGTGATGCCCCAAATTCTGACGCTAGAAGCCGTACTATTTGAGTTTGCTCAACGATCCAAATCACCAAAAGACTTGAAAAAGGCAGAGCTTGGAGAGGTCACTCAGGTTGAAACTCCCTTCCGCATTGGTCAGGCTGGCGTGGTGGTGGTTGGAGCCGCCGTCAATGCATGTGTGACCTCTGGGTGGAGGAGGTGCACGGACGGTGTGTGACGTCGTCCAAGAGAGGGGGCAACGGTGCCGGGCATGATGGAGACAACATCAGAGAACACCTCCTATCCGATGAAGTGATCCTAACCCGATCAAGTCTCCGAATTAGCCAGAAATTCCAATGAGATGCTTTAATTACTTGGGTTCGGGGGAGCGCATGGTCAGAGGGGTTCAGCAGTAGACCATTTCACTCAAATTCAGTCCGTAAAAAGGATAGCTGGCTTTGACTGAAGACCCATATTAATACAGTATATACATCTGATGCTGTCGCATGTTTTGGACGATCGTCGAACCATGGAGGCCCAAACGATGGCCGCACCTGTGTGGTCCAGGTGCGGCCACCAATGCGGGGAACCACCAGGAACCACCCACTGGATCGTCCAATCAAGAGGTTCAAACATGTTCAAGTAAAAAACAAGGAAACCTGATCTGGCAGAAACCTGATCATCTGGCTGAAGTAGCCTGTCCTACTTATTGCACCTTCTCTTGGCCCAAGAGTTCCTTCGGACCGGCGCCGGATTCCACCCGGGTCAGGGCACAAGAGCTGTTGGACCTGCTCCGGCAGCGCTTCAGCGAGCCCAATGTCATCATTCATAACTCCATGGTGAGCGCTTGTGTGGCTTGGATTTCATGGCTTGGTTCGCGTGGGGTTCGGCCCAGTTGGAGACAGCTTGGTCAAAGGGATTCTGTACAGGTGTGAGACTTCAGACATTTCCAGGTTTATTTTCGGGTAACTTGAGTGTAGGCAGCATATGAATGCATTGTATTTAAGACCTATTAACAGTTACTGTACTTACATTTCAATGTGTATCATACAATCCGGCTGATTCAGATGGGCAAAGAAAACAACTTGCGGTACTCATTCTATCTCCTTCTCATCGTATTACTGTTGGGCACAAAGATAGCCACATGAAAGCCACTCGTTGAGTCATTCATGGGTCATAGGTCGAGGGGACTGTGCCAATCATGTTTTTCCTCCCCCTTGGCGCCATTGATTTATAGCTGCTCCTGTCCCTTCCCAGGAGAAGTCCCACGCTTGGCAGAACGCCTTGCAGATGGACGACATAGACCTCCCGGGCTTCAATGCGGCCATCAGCGCGTGTCCGCAAGCTGAAACACGGAGCCAACGGTCGGGAGAGCAGGGAGCCCCACCCCGGGTTTATAAATTGTCCTCCTTGCATTTTGGTTGGGGACTCCTTGGGGCCTGCACCACCTGAGATATAGTTCTTCCATATAGCACCTTGTTGCCCTGTAGTATAGGAGTCGAGGAGTCCCCGGATACTTGTTGCCCTTTCAGCAGCTGCGGCCCACATGTCTATCAGGATTTAAACATGTTTTTACAGGCTTTTCCTTGTGGTTCAGCTTGGCGTATGCATATTTTAAGCTCCGGCAAGTTTGTAATGAAGAGGCGTTCTTTGCCCCAGCAGATCAGCGGACAGCTAACAGTGTGTGTGTGTGTGTGCTTGTGTCACAGGAAGAAAAGTTGCAATGCTTTTCCGTGGTGGGAGGAAAGGTCGAATTCCATGGAAAGCTGTTCATGGTGAAAAATTGCAATGCTTTCCATGTCACAATGTTTCGATTGTTGGAGGCAAAGGTTGGTGAACATTCCGCTTAGACCTGGGGAGTGCTGATTAGACGGACAGATGGCCCGCGGACGGAGGCTGAATCAGACCGCGGGACGGGTTTTTGGCGTTGGGCACATGTTGATCCCAACAGATCTCAGTGGCTGCTTTTGGTGCCAGGTTTTTTCCTCCAGCTCATGGCAACTGGGAAACAACTGGGTACTTGGATCAGTTTGGAGCTGCTGGGCCGCCATTTGCTGCATGCTTTTGGCTGCGCTGACGAGCCCAGGTGAGAAGGCGGAGGAATGGCAGCAGAGTTTGCGCCTTCTATGGAGTTTGCCAATCTCTGCAGACGTGACATGCCCGCAGGGGGAAGAGCTGTGAGACCTTTTGTTTGGATGGATGACAATCGAGGTTTGGAGCAAGGCTGGCGGCTGTGCACCCTCTCATCTAGAATCTAGAAGCAAATGAGCAGTGATGGACTGACGACGACATGTTTTCACAAGCTTTCCACGAAGTGGATGGTGCCCAAAGAATGTTGAGCCGTGCTTCGTTGGATTCATTCCGTGAGGCTTGGTTCATTCCGTGGTTTACTCAACAAGATTCAACAAGGTTATTTTTTCATGTAACCATTTGTTTGATTCACACTCTTCTTGCGTCTTGAGGTATATATATATATATAGCTGAACTCTCAAGTCAGCTGTTGTCCAAGGTCTCCAGACTCTTTCAGCATAAGGCCCCCAAACATATAGAAACACTCTGAAAATACGGATCATCTAAATGGCAGTTGGTGGGGTTCATTCTTTGTACTTAGGTGTACTCCCAACCTTCCATCTCTCCAGCATGCAATGGCCACCATGATCGCCTTTCTTGAGGTGGTCTCCTGCAATGCGGCATTGAGCGCATGCAACTCAGGGGCAGTTGTGAGGAGGTTGGGTAGCATCAAGGCGGTGGACGGACCATACGGCAAACTGTGTTCACCCAATAAGAGTGGACGTCCGGAAGTTACAGTAATTACCAACGTACATATTGATTATATAACATATATATAGAGTGCACTAGTCACTAGCACAACAATACTACAATATATAATACCCAGAGTTACTTTGTGTTACTCCAAATTTTAAATTGTCTTCTTTTGGACCTTCAATGAGTGCACGATGCGGTGTGCGGCTCTACCCTTCAACGGCCACCCCTTTGACGCCCTATGTTCATATATACTGTGTCTTGCTAGGCATGGTACCATCAGGTATTGGAATGCCCATCAGGTCACGGATGGGATGTGCTTATGTCTTGGAATTCTTGCTGCCACTCCTATACTGTTCTGTATTCGGTTGACAGGTTTCTTTGGTTCATAGTTCATTCATGTTACTGTTTGGTTGATGAAAAAACTGATTGGCTCCAACATGTTTGGTGAGGAGAAAAGGTCGGCTTTCCGGTTCCGAAGGCGTTTCCACTGCGACTGAGGTGAGAAGCGCCAGAAGTGGCAAATCGCACTTCAGCTGCCTGCCTTCATAGGTGTGCGAAGCCTTTGCTACCTGTGTTACGCCTGTTACGCGAGCCCGGAACAAAACCTGGAGCATTGCACTTTCTTAAATTAAGTGTTACCCCTGCGTGGAAGCCCCATCGAAACCTGCCTTAAGAAAGAAGAGCAACATTGAAACCCATTGTGGTAAGGCTGTGCTCTTCCGCTTTCCTTGCCCGTCTCACCACAACTCCTTAGCAGTTGTCCAGAGGCATCCACTCAGGCCCATCCACTCAGGCCTGCCCGGGCCTGCCCCACGTGGTCCACGTGCCGCAGTCGGTCCCTCGGAGCCGAGACTCCCAGGTTGCTCCAATCCTTTCCCGTCCCTCGGAGCTCCACGTCGTGCGCCTTGGAGAGAAGAGCCAAAGCGGTCATAAGGGGGAAGCGGATGCAAAACAGGAAGTTTGAGGTGATATACTAGGCAGGGTGCAAACTTGCCATGATGTAGGCCAAGTGTGGAAAAACATGAGAAAACAGCCAGCTTTTGGGGGGTGCTTTTCGATTACCCTTTGAGACAATCATGTAACAGGGAACATGGGTCATGATCGAGGTGTTACAGGACCGTGTGAAAGGTTAACATTCAATACCCAGAAGAAAAACACAGTCAGAGTAATAGAAGCCAAGTAGATGACCACCTGACAGTTGCAGGGTCTCCTCATTTGGTTCAACAGAATTCAACACACGACAAAATGTCAACAGCTCATTGATGTTCATTGAGTTTTCTCATCAAGACAGTCTTTGGAAACTCCCCAAGCTCAATGATTATGTAGAATCGCCACATCCCTCAGTTTAACAACATCTAGGTCTAGATCATCTACTGGACAAGTAGAACAGCCCCACCTTACTTGGCCGACAAGGCAACGCCGCCATCGCCGCCTGTCAAACCTGCTGGCCTGTGGCTATGGAGCTGTAACCTGGAGCGAGTGGAAGGTGGCGGAAGAATGGACATCTCAATGTCTCCTGAGCTTATCATGACTCATGACTGATTGGGTCAATCCCTGACAACAAGACCACATACAGATCCCCCTTGGTTGCGCCATACTGAAATCCTAGGGGTAGACGTGACTATTTCAGAAATAAAAAAACTAGCGAAACAATTCGCTGATAAGGAAGTCAGGTAGGACCCAGGAAAAAAAACAAGAAATGGGGCTCTTTTGAAATCCTTTTGCTCAGGGTAAGGCGCCAGGATTCCAAAAACACGTAAGACTACAGGATTTCACTAAAAATGTAGGATTTCACAAGGTAGAGATGCTGGGGTTGTGCTAAGACTTTAGATATTCTAGAGATACTGGAGAGGACGCTTTTTGCTGTGGCTGTGCTTGTGCATTTGCTTTTTGCAGCATTTATTTGCTCGGCTGATAGATACACATGCTGTATATACAACATAAGATTGCAATCAATTTAATCAAATGATGGCTTGCGTATGGGGCCATGTAACCATTTGTTTTTAAATGTAAACAATGGTACAGTCGCATTTTTTGGAGTGGTAGCTGACAAAGAATTCGGGCCATGTCTTTGCAAACACCAGAGTCAGACACCAGAATTGGAGTCCTGCAGTGCGGTGCGCTTGGAAGGGGATCAGCTTAGGTAGATACCCAGGATTTTACTAAACGTTTGATCAGCCTGGACTCCTTGTTTTTTCCTTGGTTCCCAACCAACCCCCTGAACACACGTCGGTCCAAAGGATTTTACAAAAAGCCCCCGTTGGGAAAAAAGGCTAGGGAACCAATGAAAAAATACAAAGTCACCTTGGTTCAGTAGGATTTTAATACGTAAAATCCTGGGGATCTACCTTAGCGGTCGGTACGAAGGGGGATCATACAGTCTTTCTGGAAGATGTGGGGTTTTGCGCATGCTGGCCAGGTTCCTTATTTCCTTGGTCCATATTTTGTTCAAGTTGACCTGGCATGACCTGGCCAGTTTTGCCAGAGCTGCTGCTCAAAAGGACCTCCACGCGCAAGGCAAGGTGCTGCTCTCAACAAAACTCCCCAAAACTTTCACGGATTTCGGTTGGGTACGGCGGGTGTTCCACATGTTTCCACAAACAGTACTCCACCCGTACACACCCAAACCACACCAGGCACTTGAACGACAAAGGAACAGCTTTCATTCACCGTTTTCCAAACTTTTTTCGGCTTTTGTGTGCTTCGGATGGTATTCTAAAGCATGAAGTAATTTGTAGCTTGTTGATTAGGCCTCATGAGCTCCTTGAGCCGCTGAGGTTGACCAGCTTTTCGTTTTGGCGCCTTCAACGAGACGAGGTCTCCTTTAGCAGTGCGATCGCTGTGTGTGAAAACTGGCAGCTCCTTGGGTGTCAAGAAAACTGGGCCGGCCGGGCCTGGGCTGGTGTTGATGAACGGACAGATGGGTCAGGTTGAATCATGGTATTGATCGCGGGTATTCGACCGATTTGATAGCAGCGTGGAAGTGGCATGTTTGACGGCGTGAGGCCTAGAATGTTCCACCCTATGAAAGAGACTTGCCGTTTCCCATCCAGGCTGGCATTGTCACTGCTAGTGGAGATGTTGCAGAAGGCCAGGGTAGATTCAGTCTGTCATATAGCTAATACCCTCAAATGGTTTAAAGTGATGGAGTTGTTTATATAATGATGTTTCTTGCAACATGTGTAGTTGATTGGTACATACAAACTGAAGCAAGCAAAACATGCGCAAAATGGTCAATTGCATCGCGAAAAGCCGGTCTGCTGTCGGAGTTGGATGGAAATAGAGTTATGATTCTAGCGTCTTTTGAGCCGCACTTTCTCCGATAGAAAGGGAAAGAGCTCCGACAGGCGTTGCAGCCGAACCTTCTCAGCTACAACTCCGTCATGTTCAGTTGCCTCCGCCATGGTCTTTCGGTCTGATCTCGAGAGCCTGCCCAAGAGGTGCAAATAAGTATACCGTTGTATTTTTGGTGTTGAGGTGGTACATGCCCGTCCCAATTTCTAGGGCACTGACTGAAGGGTCCAGCTAGGTCTATGATTGTATGATGGATGCTGCAATCAGTGAGCAGTTGCACCATAGGAGGCCATGCTTGAACATTTCAGACCACAAGTTTGCCTGTGTACTCTCACTTTTCGAAACAAGTACTCTTAGGCTGTACGTGCGACATGTTGGGACTTTTTGGGCTGCAAATGAACACGTCATAGACATAGACGCGCGTTTGAGACGTAATGATCATGTGGTGCGTGTTATTTGCCTTTGAATTCAAAAAATGCGAACAACGGCCCTTAGGCGTTGGGGGAGTGGCGGCCAGTTCAGTGCCTGGAATTGGGATGTTCCCGTTAATCAACCTGCTTTCCCTCCAGGGCGGCAGGATTTGGAAAGCAGTCGGAACAGTTTTATTTTTCTTCAATTGACACTTTAGCCCTGGAATGACACCAGCTTGGTGCGCCAACAAAATCAACCACTCTGCCAAAAGCAGTTCCTTGCTGTTTTATGCTTTTTCCTCTTCTCTCCCGCTTTTCCAGACGATTGCAGTATATTTTTTGGGCAAGGCTGGAGTGACTTTGCACCACGCGTCTAGATCTCCAGACCGCGCTTCAGGCCATTGGTCGCAGGCCTTGGAGTTGATTTCTGCTGCGGAGCTGGCAGATGTCCAAATGGATTCCGCCCCTGGGACTTGTGACTATAAGATCTATAATCATGTTTTGGTCCTCGATTCACCGAGGGAGGGGACGGACACGATCACTTATGGACTAAGAGATCCTGGTGGCAAGTTCCTGACCCCCCCTCCAGTGCTTCCATTCATGCCTCGATGTTTTTTGGATCCGCGGCATTTCCAGGCCGCCTATGGACATGCCTTGTGGGCATTTCGACTGGGCTGCTGCTCCCGGGCCGCCGCTGCGGTGATGTTTGAGATTGAGCTGGAAGGACAGCGACTGAGGCTCTGAGGTCCCAAAGTTTATTTGAAAGCTACCGTTGTCATTTTTCCCCACCTGCCAGGTGAGGGTTGTTAGATTTTATCAGAGTTGTCAACTCCGCCTTCTCCTTCTCCTCCGCCTCCTCCTGCTCCTCCTCTTCCTTCGTTGCGAGCTCCAGAGTTCAGTGGGCACCACCAGACTCGAACCGTGAGCGCCAGATCGCAGTGGGCACCACTGGACCTGAACCCGATAGAAAGTATGCCACATAGAATGCCAGAATGAATGCCACAAATAAAGTCAACAACTATGCCATATAAATTCCAGAATATGTGCCAGATAGAATGCCAGAATATATCCCAGACGTATCGCAAACATAATGTCAAACACATATGCAAGATAGACTGCAAGAAGATGTCAGGAAAGTGCCAACGGTACTGAAGGAGCGAAGACTCCACACCACTTGTGTGAAGATCGCCTGTAACTCTACAGATGCATGTGTTTGAAGAATGTTTGTGATGGTGCCGTGGACACTAGAAGACGTTCGGAATGTGGTTTTTGTGGTTCCCAACTGTTTGGAGAACTTTTGTGAACCTTTGAGGAACTTTCGTGAACAGAGTGAATTGTTTTTTAAAGCTTTTTGCTGGACGGCAACATGTTTGAGGTCTCCGTGTCGGACACTTTGACCAGAGAAGTCACTGCCTTGAGGGCGAGAGTAGAGTATCTGAATGCTAGAGTGGACACAGAGATCGCGTTCGAGGACTCCTGTGATCGGTCGAGCTGCACCACAAGTGTGTCATCTGAAGGGTTGCCTGGAGTATCCATTTCAGGTTTTGGTGAGAGACCGGAGTTCCTTGTTCGAACTTTCCATCTTCACCACCCATGTCACGATCACCAGGAATACCAGCTGGGACTGGGACTGGTTTGAATGTTCTTCCACCACCACCGGCACCGATCAGCCGATTAGGCACAGGGACAGCGCCAGAAGGGCCTTCAACATACGCCAACACCTGTGGCAGAACGCACCAAGAGCAAGTTGGAAGAAAAGGACATCTTCAGTTGAGCTGACAAATGGCTACCTGCCATGCCCACATCAGATTTCAAGAAATGGAATGTGAGCCGTCAGGAGGAGATCTTGTGCTTCTCTGAATGTATCCCGATACCATGCCGCAATGGATGCCACATAGGTGGCCATAATACTTGCTAGATAGAATGCCATAATATATGCTAGATCAGATAGAATGCCAGAAACATGCAAGATAGAATATGATAGAATGTCATTTTTTGCCCAATAGACACCCTCTTGCACTTTCTTGGTGGTGTTGAAGCAATCTAGCAGTCGGTTGTCAGCAGAATACCATGCCATGGTGAGGATCACTTGAAGTAAAGTAACTTGACATTCGTTCTTGCATGTCAGTCAGATCAAGGTGGCAATTGGTGCCTTTCGCTTTCCAGGATGCGTCCATGTTGTTCATGTTGGCCGTGTGAAAGTGCAAACGCGTCGCCGGGGAACAGGTGAACACGTGGACCAAGAACCCTGGGTGGTCATTTGTTTTGTTTTTTAGTTTCCCCGGTCCCAAAAACAATTCGCAAGTTGCAAGAGCATGTGAGTAAAGTTTCATCCAAGAACACCTGTTTGTAAGTATCAGATAATAATGGATGTGAGCGAACCCGTCCTGTGGAGGATTGACTGCGTTGGCCTCCCTCAGCTTTTGAACGTGGTCTTTGCCATCTCGCGCCTAAGCTCTGGACCAGGTGGATACAGCCAGAAGATCAGGCAGCCAGCAACTCGGAATATAGAGTCGCGTCATCTAGAATCTAGGTCATGTTGGCGGCAGAAATCAGAAATCCTGCAAATACATCCCGGCCATGGTTTCTTCTTTTGTCCGGCCGAAACGACACAACAGATTCGCAGAAACAGTTGCACTTTGGCTAGTTGAATTTCAGAATTCGGTGCCAGACTATCCACTTCCAAATCTTCCAGATAGTTTTTTTGTCAAAGTGTATGTAACCAGTTGGGCATCCTTGTTTTTTAAATCAATGGTTGAATATAACATTAAGATTACCATGTTCATCCATTTCTACTGTACCAGGTGGGTGCATCATCGCTGGCGGCCTGCAGGCAAGGGTACACTTCCCCGAATCGACATGTTTGTATCACGTTTGTTTGTTTTTGTTTCCTTGTTCTTTGTTGCGGGCTTTTGCAGCTACAGCGCAAGGGTCCATCCTTCAGTATCCAAGCGGTGACTGTTTTGGGGCCCTTGTTCGGCCGTTTTCGGGGCTCGTCATGCGTCCAAAGATTGGTTTAAAATGACATCCGAAGAAATCAAATCCTCAGAATGCAGAGATCCATCAAGCTTTGCAACTTTGAATTGTGCTCTATGGGCGTAGGTCGGTTAGTCTTGAAGTGCTGGTCAGCTTCGTAAACACCGCTGTCCAGCCTGGGCACACGAAAGATCCCAGACTAGCATTTAAGATACAGCATTTACTTACATCATTCCCCAAGAAACTACATGGCTATATGGCATGATCCATGAATGGGCCCCGACATTCCCCACATCATTTACAGTAGATCGACAAAGGCTCTCCACAAACGACGCTTGCACGCCATGGCGCCTAATATGCGGTGAACAGTGTTTGAAAGGCACGACTACCGGTGACTACGAATTATGGAGCTTGGTGATGTCAGCTTCGACCAGAAGAAGCGTTTAGCTCGCTTGGCGAAGATGGGCATTGGCCCCGTGGCGGAACCCCTCCCGCTTCGACCCCCGCCCTCAAGCACTCCCAGGTCTTTCTCTGAGCGCCGCAACACCGGCCCGGTGGACTTGGCCTCCGCCTTCGAAGCGCCCCCCCCACCGGCCAAAGCCAACCGCGCGGGCTTAAAGCCGCTGGGTGCCGTGGAGCCACGTGAATTCCAAAGCAATTGGTACCCCACACCTGCAGACACCGCGCTTTCGGACGACGATGCCATGGAACAACTGGCCAAGAAGGGCAAGGCACCGAATGCCACGGTGGCGGCTGCACAGGTCCAGGTGAAACCACAGAAGACGAAGAAGCGGAAAGGCAAAAGGAGTAAAGAGAAGGATGCAGAGGAAACAGAGCAAGATAGCCAGCCAGCTCACGGCACTAACTCTGAAGATGAAGAAAAGGATGGCCTTGGGCCTGCTGGTGCTGGCTTGATGTCGGAAGCAGAGGTGGGGTTGCTGAAAAAAGACCATATATATTATATTATATCATATATACAGTATATATATAATATAGAAGAAGAATTCCAGCAGTTCCACAGGTGTGGTTATTGGAAGGGCTCTGGGGTGCCCATGTCATCCACTCCTGGGACCTTATAAGATTCGAAGCTAAATCCGTCTGAACTCCTTTGGATGTGCATGATGTGCGGTGTTTTCCTGGCAGTTGGACCCTCCAAACCCACCCAGTTAACGTCCCCAAGAGCTTTTTGAGACGGCCCCGTATGTGGGTCTTTGTAGATTTGTAGGGTTTTGCTTGTTTGGTGTTTGTTCGAGTCTAAGACATATCCAGGTGCAGGCCTTAATGCGCCGGGAGCGCTCCAAGAACACGTCGGCTTCCAGTTCCGCGCGCCGCGTGCAGCGAGAGCTGGAGGAATGGGAAAGCATGCGGGACTCAAAGATGGCAACTCCAGCATTGTTTGAGGTCGTTTCTGGCATTTAGTAACAAGAAGCTATTAGAAACAAGTGCCACGCTACTAGTAACAA